CCCTTTCCCTGCCCCCTCCCCTTTTTTTTTTTTTACTTATGTTGAACTAATTTTTATCCAGCATAATTTCCCAAATTTGCTGACTTTACATTTAATTTAGCTTTTCTTCAGGGTCTTGTCAAAGGGAGTTGAAGTAAGTTGCCAACAAAGCTCATTTTTAATGAGGTGATTTTTGGGTTCTATTCCAGGTGAAGCCTTAGGTGCAATTGGTGATATAACAGCTATGGACGTTTTGGCTGAGTACTGTGAAGACCCTGTCACAGAGGTAAATTTCTCTCCCATTTCCCTGTGGAGTCCATCCACTATACATTTTTTAATGAATAATTAATATTCATGTACTGTGTTATAAGAATTTTTAGGGAAGTGTCTTGGTAGACCCAAATTGGGGACCACGTAGTCATGGTGTCTAGGTAACCCCCAATTGGGGAGCACCTAGCCACCATGGCTCCCGTAGACCCCAATCTATCATCATGATGTGTCTCTCGACGGTCTTGTTCCCTCCACTTTACACTCTAGTATAGTCCTGCAGATTAAGCAATGACATTTTATGTGTCCGAAATACTGTCATTTTCTTTATTTTTATCTGTTGTAACAATTCAGGACTTGTGTTTAGAAGATGGTAAACTTGTTCTTTTTTTTTTCTCTGCGTCAATCTATACAGTGCGTCCATAAAGTCTTGACATTATTGGTTAAAATCCAACATTTTTGGGGAGCACCTAGCCACCATGACTAGGTAGACCCCAATTGGGGATTGCCTAGACACAATGACTACGTACTCCCCGATTGGGGTCTACCTAGACACTTTCAGTTTGGAGTTACATCAGTAGAATTTATTCAATCTTACAAACAATTTTCTTCCTCCTCCCTTCTGCTCTTTATTCCTTTCTCCATGTTCTTTCCCTCTGTCTCCCTTTCTTTTCTTTTTTTTCTTTTAGCTCCCCTGCTTTACTTCAGGAATGGTACACTGAAGATTTTAACCAAGAAACATATGATGTTATGCCCATGATGAGTGTTAGGTTCCTTGCCTTTGTTGCTGTGTCTTGCAGGTTCCAGGTTTCTTCCACTCTCATTTTTTCTTAGAGGCTAGCTTAATTAGCTGCGAGGTTTTCTTGGAGAGCCAGCCCGATCTGACCTTCTGGGTTTTGTTTGGTTTTTTGCCATTGCCTCATTATCTGTTATTGACATGTGACTTCTGATTTTTATTATTTTTAAAGAGGGCTAAGTTAAGGCCTTTATCCCACCGCTGTACGTATAAAGCCGCGTGATTCAACCGCCTAAGTGACAAAATTTTTGAAAATCACTTTTTCATTTTGATCCCTTTATGTAGTACAGCCTTTGATACACCTTATATATTAAATCCCGAGTTTGAAAGATTACTGCAAAGTGTTTCAATTCTTCAGTAAATCAATCGCCTATATAAAACCAGTCCCCAATTTCTACCTGATTCAACCACCCAAGTGCCAGTTTTGCAGCCCGGTGGCGAATGGGAAGTTTAATCACGCAGATTCAGTGGCTTGTTGACCCACACTACTGAAGCGTTTGTCAAAACAGACTTAAGGGTAACATCAAAACAAAATGCTGCCTTTGCTAGCTTCAACTCAGATTGAACCCTATCGATCGCCAGAAGATTTTGTCATGGCAGTTTGTGTAATCTATTACTGGCACTGGGTTTGGTAGTTTGGTAGTGTAGTTGAGAAAGGGCAAGATGGCATCAAAGAATATATGTTAATACAGTCAGAGCTGGTTGTAACCTCCGACCCATGAAAAGTATGTTTACAGAGGTTTTATTGTATTCCTACCAGGTCGCAGAGACTTGCCAGCTGGCTGTATGTAGGTTACAGTGGTTGGCGGAGAAGGCCAAAGTAGAAAACGACCTGCCTGACAATCCGTACTTCTCAGTGGACCCTGCTCCACCTGCGAAAACAGGTGATGTTGGTGAGCTGAAAACTACCTTGTTGGATGAAAATCTGCCGCTCTTTCAGAGATACAGGGCAATGTTCACGTTGAGAAACATGGGCAGTAATCCAGCTGTTTTGGCCCTTGCTGAGGGTAAGTTGACACGTCGCTCAATGTACAACCGTAAATCTCTCTTTGAACTCCTCTTTCACAAAAAGTTATAGATTCATTTACAAGCAAAGTGTTACCCTTGGAGCCCTGGCACCATGAACCTGAAGGACACGTGCATCTAAATTCCTTTGGGATGTTTACAAGACTTTCACACTCTGACTACATGCAGGTGTTTTTAGGGGATAATACAGGCATGCACGCACACACACACACACACACACACACACACACACACACACGCACGGGGCGCGCGCACATGCACGCCCACGCACACCTTTAATCAGGCACACTTCCATCTGTGTCGGAGTTGGACCGGATTCTCCCACATCTAACACAATGGTGATAGCCATGGTTTTGGGTAGTACTGACTTGTAGTAGTAGTAGCACATGTTGAAAGTTACCAAGTGAGAATTCTCATCAACAGTATAAAATTGGACTTGTTGAGGGGGGGAGGCGTAAAGAGAGAACTGATTGAACCCTGGGATATAGGGACTATGAAAGGAATGCTACACTTGTTATAATATCTTTGCTGCATAATATATCACATTGTGGGACTTCTACTTTAAGGTCTTTATCGTCACATGACTGAAAAAATGGCACCATTTCATGTAGCTCAAATTGTTTATTCCTTTTTTCTTGATAACTTTAGAATTTACTTAGTACATGCACTCATAGTGCTTTTTGGTTCCTAGGTAATTGATTCTGGGTAGGGAAAAGATTGGAATTTTTTTCATAATAATTTTCTTACCAGAGAACATGAATATTATGAGAACAATCTTTTTTTTTTTTCTCTCTTCTTATCCATTCCAACACTGTAAAATTTTCTGAAAAATTGAATAATTATTGGAAATGAAAAATGCCGCTCTGTTATGTTTTGGATTTGCATTAAGCTTTGTAAAACTGTGAACTTTATGGTTGTCCCTTTTTTTTTTAAACGGATGAGTGGGGGAAGGGTGAGGGATCAAACCCACTACACGTCAGCTGGAGGTGCAACCCTTTTGACATCATTGGAAAAGTGAAAAAAAAAAAAACATACATAAGAACAGCTTTGCTCAGATATACATGTGTGATACTTTGTTTGGTGTGACACCTTCTTTTGTTTCCTTCTTTACTCTTAACTCTCTGCCAAGTGCTGTAGGGCCTACCTTTGTATTAAAGTGTCTACTAACTAGTGTCCAGTGGGTCATTAAACTAAACCAACTTGAGATTGTCATATTTTCAAGTTTTCATTTTGTGCCACCTAAAAATGATCGTCAAAGTCTAGAATAAAGAAGTTTGCCTGAATACTATTGTATAGTAGCAATTTAATTTTTTTTAGGTGCTGCCTTACAAGAATTTTCCCACTTCTTCTTACTATTAATACTAGTAATTTGCGCTGGGCTCTTCAGTATGACCAATCTACACGCAGGCTTTCATGATACTATGTCCAAGTTCTATCAAAGTTATCCTGTCTTTTCTAAACTCTTCCCCAGGTCTGAAGTGCTCAAGCGCTTTGTTCAGGCATGAGATTGCCTACGTTCTGGGCCAGATCCAGAGTGATGCCTGCTTGGATCAACTCTACGAAAATTTGAAAGACGCGCAAGAAAGCCCTATGGTGAGGCACGAATGTGCAGAAGCCCTGGGCTCCATAGCCACTCCAAAGGCCTCGAAAATGCTGGAGAACTATCTCAAAGACCCAGAGAGAGTCGTCCGAGAGAGTTGTATCATCGCTCTAGACATGAGTGAATATGAGAATGGGGAGGATTTCCAGTATGCAAACACTTTTAGTAAACTGAAAAATACAGATCCTAATGATGGCGCTCAGCCTGTAATGTGAAACATATCATTTAAAGGTTGTGCTTATTTAATGATTTGATGGTTTGAATTTAATTGCTGCATGCATGCATGTGTGGGGATTGCAAGGTGAGGGAAGAGGAGGGAGATTTCTGCTTAATTTGATATTCGATGGAAGCCTGAAATGTAAATAAACTGTTCATGAATGACTGATTTATTGTGTATTTTTTATTTTCAGTGATATTGTCGTGATAAAATATTGTTCTCTTCTCTTATGCCTTTTTATTTTTGACCTAGTGTTTATAGTACTTCTAGACACAAAACCACTCAGGATGCAGCGTAGAAAATAAACATGCTTTGAGTTGCTCCCATCATATTGTAAGGAGTGCATATTAATGAATCCGTTTAAATATGGAGATTTACATTTTGTTTTTTTGTTTTTTAGCTACTTGTGTTTTCTTTGCCATATCAACAGACCGAAGGGCTGGAACCCAAATGGCCGCTGGATCGGAAAAGTAAACTAAAGTAAAGTAAGCTAGTTGTACATTGAAAAATAGAGAAGCCTTCACTTGTCTTTACTTATTTTAACATGGAAGTCACTTTGCCACTTTAAATTAATGTTTGAAACTTGAAAATTCTCAGAATTCCATTCTTCCAAATTAAATCAGAAATCACCTGTTGTCAGACAATACGTGTTGGTGTCTATGGAGTTCTTGCTAAGGGCCTGGTTGGTAGTTCACAGTTGTAGTGAAGGTGTGGAGGGTTGACAAGCGGGTTGGATTAGAGAGTTCTGAAAATCTTTTGGTTCTGTATGGAATGTTTTTTCATCTCGATCTCTCTGGGTTTTTTGGGTTTTTTTTACTGATGAGGGACCAAGTTCTTCACCTTGGAAATGATGTACAGTCAAACATAGGTAGATCTAACTCGAATTCGTCGGGAATTAGAAATAGTGTTTGAGATTTCCGTAATTTGCCATGACCGGGAAAGCCCCAAATACAAAGAAATATTAGAAAGAAATTCAAGGGAGGTATAAAAAAAACCCACTGAAACAATTAACATGTTTAGCTCCCTCGAAGAACGTGTTGACGGTGCGGAAGCAAGAAGATGAATAAAAATTAAAGCAGATAATCTCACGAGAGCACAGTCAACTCCTACGTCATTCCTTTCCTCTCATTTCATTGGCTTACAAAAAGTTACACCTCTTGCCATCCGCACCGCGCGCGTCCCACAGAATGGTTACACACGTAGTGAGCTATTCATTCTGTGCAGTCAGCATCACTCCCGAACCCCCCCTTCCCCGTCCCGCCTTCCGCAACCCCTCTTCCTCCAGCCTCTTGTGGCGAGACAAGGACCGCGTTTTGGCTGTAATTGTTACAGCCAAAACGTAAAGAAACACCTAGATCTCTACCCAAGGCTAGAAAGGTGGTAAAGCCGAGTCTTTTGTTGAAAATGTGAAGTGGGTTTGTTCGAGATTCGAGTGTTGCAAGTATAATGTGTTCAGGAACTCCGTGAAGTAGATACAAAGAAAACATAGGGACCAAAATAGGACCGAGCATTAATGTTCGAGTTACCCGAGAATCCGTGATTTTCGTGTTCGAGATTCGTGGACTTTACTACTTTACTGTAGTTTGTTTCTTTTAGGGAGATGAAAATTGTTAAAAAAGATCTCTGCTTCTTAATTGCCTGCTGTCTGTCAATGCATAGCTTTCCATCACCCACACGCACAGACAGAGTACTAATAATGATACAGCTTTATTTCACTGGTCTTTATTTTGCTCCATTTGTTGTCAATCGTAGATTTTTATTTCATCATTAAAAAGATTTTACGAAACGAGTGGTAGTGGTAGAGTGAAGATACGAGAATCGCAAAAATATTTGATGGAAGGAACAGTCTTGATTTAAGTTCTTCATTACATTACCATACTTTATCCAATCTCTGGGCCATTGGGTTTACAATGAAAGCTTGCAGAGACGATTTGGAAGTGAGCAAGCAAGAGCTGCAATGTTTGCTGCAGTGGATTCAGAACTGAAAAACATTGGTAGTAGAGATAGTGAAATAACCAAACTTTGTAATCGGAGCCATCTAGATCTAGAAGTTTTAAGTGAAAAGACAAAGGAAGGGGAAAGCAGAAGGGTTGTTCTAGAGAGGGCACCGATGTCAATGGTATGCAACAATAGCCTGGTCACAAATACCGGTACATGTAATATAAAACATTAATAAAGCTGAAAACGTCAAAACAACAAAACATTGTCTGAAGTCATTCTTGGGGGTTGTAAACAAAATTTTGAAATTGTAATGTATGTGTAGACCTAGGTGATTTTACACCCCTATCGACACAACTTAGATCATTTAGGATGCAAGCTTCCGACCCTGCCTATCAGGGCCAACCCGGAATGATTTAATATAAAGATAAAACATCTCAACAGAAAGACAAAGGTACCCAATAAAACGTTCTCCCCACTTGGGAATCAAACGTGGATCTCCTGCGTGAGACAGCAAAACGCCTATATAAAGGCTACGCCACATATGTCAGTTTAAATTATAAATGCCCATAGGAAAAGCATTTTTACCATATATTTTATTAGATCTATACAGTATAACGTGGATACTGCGAATTCGTCTGGACCAGCCTCGGTAGTTCAAGTTCAAGGGATAGATCTATCTTACAAAGATAACGAAGAAAAAATGTGACCGAAGGCACATTTCGACGGATGCGTGATTTCGAGTCTTCTGTGTTCGACTTATCCATGTTATGTTATAGAGATCTAGACTACCGTATTATGTTCAGTGTAATTAGCAGTCTGACACTTCAACTTCGAAGAAAGGCACTGACATCATAGGGAGCAGCCAAACCGCTGGATGCAATACAGTATCATTTTTTCAGCTGTATGCAACAGTATAATGGGCAATACCGACAATATTGTTATCACTACATACATGTATAAAAAACAATTGCAACAAGAACTAAAACACATTACAAACAACCTCAACAACAACAACATTAGTAATTCTTTGCTTTGCAAGCTGTAATATACTATCATTATCAATGTGCACGAGACGAGGGTTTTGGTAGGCCTACCAGTATCGCTGAATGAGTGGGACATCCATTTAGCAAAATATTATGCATGTTGAACAAATACAGTGGAAACCTGACATTACAGGAATGGTGGGTCCAGAGAAAAAATCCTGTTATATCAGATCCCTATTAAATCAGAAATGCAAGGGATGTAAACGCTTATTGTGGACAAATAATAATATATCGCTGTATTTATTCATGGGTAGTTTCCCTGGCACACCGCAGCCCTCTCTCGTGGCCATGTGGCAGGCCTGCACATGACACATTACGTGTGCGTGTAGCTTTGCGAAATCTGCCGAACACCGCAGCCCTCTCTCACTTCACCCGCTGCGTGTGCTTGCAGTTGCAGTATCGTGGTTTGCGTGGTCTCTCTCTCTCTCTCTCTCTCTCTCTCTCTCTCTCTCTCTCTCTCTCTTACTTTTTACACACTGTTAACGAGCCTGCTATAACCGATTGGGCTCCGATGAGGCCCGCTGCTATTGCCAAGACAAAGAGTAGGAGAAACTGGGATTTTAAAAATTCGTTATTACCGGATCCCGGTTATTTCCGGGCCTGTTATAATTTATAAATGGTGGAAACCTGATATAACAGAGATGGTGGGACCAGAAAAAGTGCTGTTATATCCGATCCCTGTTAAATCAGAAATGCAAGGAAAGTAAGCTTTTGTGGACTAATCCAGCTGTATTTATCCATGGGTAGTTTCCCTTGCCACAAGTACCCACGAACAGGGGTTTTGGCTATTGGCAGGCCTGCGCATGACACATTATGCGTGCATGTAGCTAGGCGAAGGCCAGTCTGGTAAACAAAAAATAAAAAGGATAGCTCTAGGAAATCAAAATGAAAAGGATAGCTCTGGGAAACCAAAATGAAAAGGATAGTTCTCTCTGAAACTAAAATGGAAAGCATAGCTTTGGGAATCGAAAATGTAAAGGATAGCTCTGGGAATCCAAAATGAAAAGGATAGCTGCTCTCTGAAACCAAAAAAAAAAAAAAGGATAACGTTGGAAATCAGAAATTAAAAGGATAGCTCTGGGGAACAAACATGAAAATTATATCTCTGGGGAACTAAAATTAAAATAAAAAGGATAGCTATCTGAAAGCAAAATAAAAACCATAGCTCTGGGAAATCAAAATGAAAAGGATAACTCTGGGAAACGAAAATAAAAAGGATAGCTCAATGAAACCAAAATTGAAAAGATAGCTAGCTCTGGAAAATCAAAATGAAAAAGATAACTTGGGGAACCCAAAATGAAAAGAGTAGCTCTCTGAAAATAAAAGGTTAACTCTGGGAAATCAAAATGAAAAGGATAGCTCTGGGAAACCAAAATGAAAAGGATAGCTCTGGGAAATCAAAATGGAAAAGATAGCTCTGTGAAACTAAAATGAAAAGGATAGCTCTGTGAAACTAAAATGAAAAGGATAGCTCTGTGAAACTAAAATGAAAAGGATAGCTCTGTGAAACTAAAATGAAAAGGATAGCTCTGGGAAACTAAAATGAAAAGGATAATCAGAATATAAAATTTATAACTCTGAGAAACCAAAATAAAAAAAGGATAGCGCCCTGAAACCAAAATTGGAAGGATAGCTTTTAGAAACTAAAATGAAAAGGATAGCGCCGGGGAAACAAAAATGAAAAGGATTGCTCTAGGTATCCAAAACCAGAAGGGTAGCTCTTAGAAATAAAAATGGAAACGATGGATCTGGGAAATCAAAATGTAAAGGATATATCTGGGAAACCAATTTGAAAAGGATAGCTCTTTGAAACGAAAATGAAAAGGATAGCAGTGGGTAATCAAAATGAAAAGGATAGCAGTGGGTAATCAAAATGAAAAGGATAGCAGTGGGTAATCAAAATGAAAAGGATAGCAGTGGGTAATCAAAATGAAAAGGATAGCAGTGGGTAATCAAAATGAAAAGGGTAGCAGTGGGTAATCAAAATGAAAAGGATAGCAGTGGGTAATCAAAATGAAAAGGGTAGCAGTGGGTAATCAAAATGAAAAGGATAGCAGTGGGTAATCAAAATGAAAAGGGTAGCAGTGGGTAATCAAAATGAAAAGGATAGCAGTGGGTAATCAAAATGAAAAGGATAGCAGTGGGTAATCAAAATGAAAAGGATAGCAGTGGATAATCAGAATATAAAATGTATAACTCTGAGAAACCAAAATAAAAAAAGGATAGCGCCCTGAAACCAAAATTGGAAGGATAGCTTTTAGAAACTAAAATGAAAAGGATAGCGCCGGGGAAACAAAAATGAAAAGGATTGCTCTAGGTATCCAAAACCAGAAGGGTAGCTCTTAGAAATAAAAATGGAAACGATGGATCTGGGAAATCAAAATGTAAAGGATATATCTGGGAAACCAATTTGAAAAGGATAGCTCTTTGAAACGAAAATGAAAAGGATAGCAGTGGGTAATCAAAATGAAAAGGATAGCAGTGGGTAATCAAAATGAAAAGGATAGCAGTGGGTAATCAAAATGAAAAGGATAGCAGTGGGTAATCAAAATGAAAAAGATAGCAGTGGGTAATCAAAATGAAAAGGATAGTGTTTGGAAACAAAGTGAAAAGGATAGTGTTTCTTAATGAACCTAAAATTAAAATGAAAAATATAACTCTTCGAAAACCAAAATGAAAAGCCTTGCTCTTAGAAACAAAATTAGAAACAGCGACTTCATTGACGAGTTTTCTGCTGTTAGCAGTTGTCAAACCATTGGGTCTTTTAATAATGATAATAATAATAAGAATAAGAATAAGAATAATGGATAGCATTTGTATAGCGCAAATCCCCGCTCAATAGAGGCTCAATGCGCTTCACAATCTATACTATTACCCTAGCAGACCTGAGAGCATTCTGAAACAGCCTCAACTTCCTGGGAAGCATAGAGTGCAAGCGGCCATTTATAGGCGCTAAAACACTAACATACTGACAAGATCTTTCACTGTCTATGGCCGGGTACCTATTCCCACCTGGGTGAAGTGAGGAAAATTCGTGTAAAGTGCCTTCCCCAGGGACACAACGTCGGCCTGCAGCTCAAACCCCCGACCCCACAACCTCATGATTATCAGTCCGGTAGCCTAACCACGACGTCTTTTGGCACATTTCAACATGTGCTGCGCCAATTCAGCCTCCTGCTCTACTGTGAATACTTGACTGTGACGATAGTTTGGACACAATTCAACATCATCTTGAAGAGCTTTCTTCACAAATACATTGTGTTGAAGGGTAGTGCGGGCAACGCCGCGAAGGCATGTGACTTCCCTCAAAGGCGCTATATTTCTGACAGCTGCCACTGCATCTTTCATTGTATCAGGTAAAGTTGTCCCTGTGCCGGTCTTCCTTTGATGCGTAGCATTGTCCCTAGAGATTGAAAAGAAAAAAGAAGAATAAATCATTTAATGCGTGTCTTCGAGATGCTGGTTCATGCCAAAAGAATAAAAAGAAGCGGGTACACAGTGTCACACTAGGGCACCAATGAGGGAAAACTCCGGAAAGGTAGACTACTACAATACTACCCCAAGGTTTAAAAAAAAGTCTAGATCAAGATCTAAGCCCCTATCTTTATCTTATATTCTAACAAAGGAAAACTTAATCCAGCGAAGGCAGGGGTACTGTGGACCAGTCTCAACAACAGAGCAGTCAAGGCTATCATGCCTACTGTTAACCCTTTAACGCTCAGTGCCATTTTTAAAGGAAAATTTTTTTAATCGACTGGAAAAGAGCACAAATGCAAGCAAATTATTACTGTTTTGTTTTCTCAGATGGTAAAGAGGTTATTCTTTTGTATTACATTCACGCACAGAATTCTACACTTAGTGTAGAATTCTGTGCGTTCACGCTAACTTCTTATCCACTTTTTCTTTTTTGCTGAGTACATTTTCCCTCCTCTCATTCAAAAAATGGCGGAAAAGGACACCCACCCAAAAAGGAAAAGGTAAGACCGTAATTTCACAAATGCGTTTGAAACGTCTAAAACAAAGACGTACAAATGTGTATAAATATTACATTCACCCTTACTTGCAATTGTTGTAATCATTCTATCAATACTTGTTCAGAAAATATCAAAAATCCATAATATGTCTTTTATAAAGGACACAGGGCACGAATGGCCCCAGTGTTTCTGCCAGTTGAACGTCCTCTATAAAGGACACTGGGCGTTGTGCTATATTATATGTGTTAATGGGTGTATAGATATGAGTGGGTACATATAGAGTACATGGTTTTACCCCTACGCCTTTCGGGATTTGTTGCCAGGGTGGATAGCATTATCAGCCAACAGTGGGTATGTTATAGATTTCTGGGAGTGTACATAATATTATACGTGAGTGTAAAGGGAAAGTTATACGCGGGTTTTTTTTTTGGTATACGTGGGTGTATGATTCCGGGGTCCATAGGCTATAAATATCTATTCTGCTTCTAATATTTCGTTTTGATGCCCTTTTGTCACCCACCTAATGGGAATCTAGTGTTAAACCATATTCTTGCGCCTTCTGAGATGGGTGAAAACGTGAGCAACTAAGGTGTAATAAGCAAGTGTATCGGTATAAGTGGGTATAAAGTTTTAGGCAGGTTTATTTGTATAGGTGGGTGTTTAGGTATATCAGGGTGTATAAGTTGGTGTATAGGTGCTTTAGGCATTTTGTGTTTCTTTTAAAATTTTGGTTTCTTTATATTTTTCCAAAGATCAAAGGCATTTACTTTCAATGAAGTTCTCAGCCAATCGGAAGAAGAATCAGATGATGATACTGAAATTGCCTCAGCCGATGTCTACATATCTCCACCAGGAGATGAACAGAATTCAGACGAAGATGATGTCAATGATGATGTGCAAGAATCATTGTCACCAAACGATTTACCAGGAGGCAGCGCTCAGTTTTGTGTTACCAGGTGATCAGCAAAGGAGAAGAAAAAAAATCCTTGTTGATCTGCCAAATTTAATCAACAGGTGCCTCTCAAACATAGGTGGTGTTGAGCGCCTGGACCAAAATGTGGGTAAATATCGGATATCAATCCGATTAAAGAAGTGATGACGGCTGTTGTTTGCCTTTCTGGCAGATATAGCCATCAACAATGTGTGGCTACCTTACAGGTTGTCACCGGCTCATGGTACTCTGCCTCTGGGTCAACTGGCCTTCAAGAGATCTATGGCTTAGATCTACCTTGACCTACTGTGAGCTCTGCAGCATTTGCCAGTTATTCAAGCTCAGCGGGCAAAACACCGGAAGGTAGCACCAGAGATTCGCCATAGCTGCCTAGGCCACCACAAAAAATTTAAAAAACAAAAACGATGCAGTCTTTGTGGGGAAAAGGCCAACACACTGTGTGGTTCATGTGATGTGCCATTGCATCAGAGGTGCGCTGAGTAATTTCATGTTGATTTGGCAGTTATGCTTTCCATCTTTTAGATATCGTGGAAGTTAAAAAATCGCCTAAAACAGTTTGACATGTTTGAATGTAATGGTTATGCCTACAATGTATACATTTCTCTAAGATACAATTTCCTAGAACGGTTCAGTTTTGGTTTTCTAAGATCTTTGACTTTGATATAATAGGCCTACCCAATGCCCAGTGTCCTTTATAGAGGACTTTTGATTGGGACAAACACTGGGGCCATTCGTGCCCAGTGTCCTTTATAAAGGACAAAATTTTTAAAAAATTAATAATGTTTTTGTTTTTTAAATACTCCAAAAGGTGTTGTGGTTTCTTCATTTGAATGCGCGGTCACATTTTAAAAAATGTGGAATCAGTTATTTTTTTAGACCTTGGTCATTAACGCGTAAATATACAGAGTATGCAGTTGGAAAGGCAAGAGAAATTGAAGTACCTGGGCATTACCTTTGACCGCACGACTCTCTCGGCAAAAGACCATGTGACTAACATTATCACCAGAGCAAGGAAAGGACTGGTTGCACTGAGAGTGATGGCTGCATCTATGCCCCAACGCGCCCTTGTGATCATGCTTCAAGCGGTTGCACTGTCTGTAGTGGACTGTGGCATTGGTATGCTCACCCTATCAAAAACCCAGCTTCAACGCCTCGAATCATTCAAAATGAAGAAATGAGAACTGTTCTGAGATGCACCCGTGACACAGTAGCATCAGCGATGAGATATCTGATGGACCTGCCAACCTTAACCCACCGACACAAGCTAGCATAAGCGAAGACCTACCTACGAGTATCAGTAGACGAACATTATCAACTACACCCGAAAATATGAAACCAAGTACGCCAAAGATTGAACAGAGGATCTTCATGGATGGCGCAGGCAGAGCGAACTCTCGGTATGTGTTGTGAAATCACGGACATAGAAGAGGATGTGACTGGATTAGGCCGGAGAAAGACATGAGCAGCTTCATGAAGGTGATAGCTACGCTTGGTCGAGAGTGTCGCGAGTGGACAGTAAAGGCAACTAATTCAACTAATGCGGAAATTGTGACCATCCTTGAAGAAAATTAAGTGATGGGTGATGTTGTCGTCTTCACCGACGGATCAGTGAGGCACGGCCAGAAATCTAGGTGGGTGTTCAGTGCTCGAGTTGACGGGAAGATAATTAAAGAACAGTCTGGAGCCTACGAGTGCACTACATCGAGCATGGCAATGGAGGGCGAGGCAATAACAGAGGCGCTGGAATGGATCAGTATGGAAGCGTATAAACATGCCCTGTTCGTCACAGATTTGATGAGCACCCTAGAAAAAATCAGGAGTTGGTGGCTCTACAGTGACTGGAGAGCTTCCATTGCAAATTATAGCCACCTCTTAAGGATTACATGGGTGTTCTGCCCTGGTCACGCCGGTGTGCACGGAAATGAGAGTGCTGGTGAACTTGCCAGCAAAGCAGCACCCAGTGGCCGAATCATGCTCGACCCACCAAAGTTTATCGCCATATGCAAGGAGAGCCTTCCCGACCAAGAGGACGCAGACTCCCACACACCCAGCACAATAAAAGAAAAGTGTGTACGCGGCACAGGGGAAAAAAGTTTGCTTCGAGGAGTGGTCAGGCGTGTCTCAAACCAGCTCCTCATGGAGGCATGCAATTAGCAGGAAGACCCTGAGGTGGACGCTGGAAAGGAGAGATGAGCAGCTACGGACATGTGTCGCCTGCTATGATTCTAGCTCTGGATCCAAGTAATATCTAACAAAATAGGTAATATGTCTAAAATAGCATGGAAATGTGTCGAAGATTACTTTTCAACAAACAAGCACTGGTTCCTCAGAAAAAAGGTTTCCCAGGGACAGTTGTCTGCTAATTGTAAAGCATCTACTTAGATTTAATTAGAGCCCGTGTGCTTCAATCGGGGTTGAGCGCTATAGTAATACCATGTTCGGTACTATTTATTATAATCTTTATTATTCTAATCCAACCGCGCCGCACTCTATTTTTCTAATAACTTTTTATCTTCAAGGTTATTCAAGGCCTTATGCCTTCAGACCTAGGGCCTAGCTTCAGACACAGATCTATCCCTTATTACATTTTTTTTCTTTAGCTGGGGATATCGCGTTTGCTCAATGACACACACCACTGACCACCCACCTATCTTACCACTATATGTCGCCGACAATTGCTTGACTTTATTTTTTGAGTTAACACTCACAACCCAAGGACCCCCCCCCCTAAAAAAAACAAGAAAAGATAAGAAAAAGAAATCGAGCCGACTCTGTACAAGCACTTGCACCTCTCTCGAGATCATAGCGTCCGATAGACTTGTAATTGGTCCATGATCACAGTCATTATTTCTCTTATTCATACTTCATACTCAGCGTTGTGACTGGTACATAATGTACTGTTTCATATTGTATCAATGTGCCATCAAACTACTACAGTTGACAATGTCGCGTCGTAAAAATTCACTCTCACGTCTCTAGTTCTCGCCAGTTCCAAAACAACAATCGCGCCTCAGCCATGCACACAAACACATTGTAAGCCGATAACTGATATTACTATTACACGATGTAAAAAATAAACACTTCTATTTCAGGGAATAAGAACTGGTAGGTGCATATCCCAGGGTAGTAAATTGCGCCGCTACACCGGAAAACCTGTGGTTCTGCTCTCTTGTGATGAAAAACAGGCGACGCAAACTTCCTCGAATCCTTGTATTGCCTAGCAGAAGAATGTAGCTGGCATAAATAGGCATTGCAAGTGCATTGTTTTGTAAATCTAGATTTAGATCTCTAGATCTAGATTCTAGATCTAGATTCTAAACGTTCATCCCCGGAAGAATTATTTTGTGAAAGGTACGCCCTCGTTATTTTCATTCTGTATCAGGTGCAAGCGACAGTCTGCCAAACAGAGATTTTCTAGTCTAGGGCGATTTTGTAGTTTCGTTCATAATAAAGTAAAGTCAAGAGTAGGTGGGGTTTCAGGGGGGACCTAATAAAAATTATCGAGGTAGGGGGTTCAGGGGGGCATGCCCCTCCCCCCCCCCCCTTAATTTTATCCTAATTTGATGTTTTGCAGTGAGGTTGCATCCCTGCTCTTTATGTAGCCTATTTCAAATTGTCTATTTGGTCATCAAGACTTTTGGATTTCTTCTCTGGATGTAAACAAATGGATTTGTGGACTTTAACGAATAGAACTACAAGATCACCGATCTAGATCTAGACAATCTAGATCTAGATATCTAAATCTAGATATATCTAGATCTAGATTCTACCTCATTCAGTGCGATACATCTAGATCTAGATCTAGAATTTTTTAGCCATCGTTTCTACTTAACCCTCGTCCTGCAGGGGCTGGGTTTATGTCGCCCGATAAGCTTATTTCGGCACCTCGCCTACGTTCTGGTCCTGAGTCAGTCTAGCCACAGGCTCAGCGCCTGCGCACCGCGCATCATCTTACGCGAAAGCCGGGTCCCGAGTCGGATCCACATTCACGCAGGTCAGATCAAGTGTGTGCGCGCCAGTCTGCTTTCAGAGTTTGCGTGCGTTTGTGGCCTTCTCTAGAACCGCCTGGGTTGGTTCGTAATTGATGCATACGTCTCATTCAAAACACGCCAAGTTGGTAGCTCTAGATTTCGTCCAATGAAATCATAGAAGGAATTGACCCACTTAGACAATTGTTTCTGACATTGTTTGCACAAAAGTAGATTCAACTCTAGACGTAGTCTAGTTCATCTCTCATATCATAATCATTTGAGTTTGAGCAAGTTTACAAGTTGAAGGATGCGTTGATAACATTAACAAGACGGTGCAACTCGGTAAGCAGTATTTCCTTCCGCAGTGTCGTCATACAATAGATTTACCTAAAAATATTGGAAGTGCCTATTTGCAACGCTGCATTGCCATTAGCGCTAGTGCCAAATAAAACGCTGTGTTGCGATCAACGTCAGCAACGACGCCCAGTCCCTGTGCCTGTAGTAGGCCTACTGTGTAGTGTGTATGGTACAGGTCTGTGTATTGTCATTGGGCAATCTTTCAAATTTACATTATTTTTCTCTATTGCTTAATTCAGGTAAAAAGTTAAAGGTAAGGATAGGGTTGGTGTAACCCGTTGGCCTACTCTAACCCTAGCCCTCCCCCAACCCCTACCTGTGCCTTACCGTAAAGTCCGTAAAGGCTTTAAAAAATCATTTCGCCTTTTAAAAGGCATCCTAACCAAGCTAATCCTTGGTTCAGAATATCAGCTTTTCATAAATTTATAGAGATAGCCATCTGTCTGGATGAAAATTTCCAGTCTAGAAAGTTAGTTGAGAATGTCTTTCGGGTATTACTTTTAACTATAATAGATGTATCTGATCTTTCTTTGCTTTCAGTCATTACAGAAAGTAAAGAGATGGCTTCTGCAGAGCAGGATGGCAGCTTAAAATCCAACATGAAAGCAGAGAATGAGTCAAACAGAAGTCTGAGCAAATCCCCAGAGAGTTCCAACCAAGGCAGTCATGAAAAAGTGAGTAAAATTTTGCTTTGAACTTTTCAGAATTAAAAAAAATAATTTTTGGAGCAAAAAAGTAAGAATTTGGAGCAAGGAAAATGAATGGGTTGGTTTTGAAGCTATATTTACCACATTTGTTTTCAAAGAGGCACAATATTACTCCTTGAAGAATAGTTTAGTATTTTTCATTGTCCAGTTCAACTCAACCCTTCTTAAAAATTTTACATTAATTTTTTTAATCACTTCAATTTTGTAACAAGTTTTGGGCGGCAATGTTTATTATAATCATAATAAGTGAAGTTTGATGTTGGTGATAGAGAATGACCGTTGAGGTAAGTCAGTGTTTTATTCAAAGTAGTCTTCAATTGAACACTAACTATTATAATACCTCTCTCACTTTTTCATCTTGTTATGATTTCATGTGTGCTCAATTCAAAAGCCTTATTTTTTGTGTCTAATGAATTTGTCAATATTTTTTCCCTGAGAGAACAGGCAAAAAAGAGAATGTTGAAAAGAATGTTGTTTCCGCCATTGTTAATTAGGTTACTTGTAAAAACATACTATTTTCTGTGTGACAAAATTATCATTTTGTTTCCACCATTGTTGATTAGGTTACTTTTGAAAACATTTACTGTGTGACACAATTGTATCATTTTGTGTTGACACTCAGTAAGATGTAGGCTGCAAAGAATTAAGATGTTGGATGACTTATGAACCAGAGGGGAGAGAATATAGTTTTGAAGTATTGTGGAAAGGGCAATATTATGACATTGCTCACTATGTTTTTGGTTGTTTTTTTTTCTATCAGCCGACAGGAGCCACCCTTGAAGCCAGACCCACCAAAGATGGGTTGGCTGTGAAGAGTGGTATGAAAGGAAAGCCAAAACCTCTCTATTTTTGGAGCACAGCAGATGTCAACAAATGGCTGCGGAAGCATGGTGGCCTTTATTATGAGCTCTATGGGGAACTGCTCAGCAAACATGAAGTCACTGGTAGGTATTGTACATGTAGCTTGTGAACTTTGAATTGACCCAAGACTTAAGTTTGACAGAGCTCATCTCTTCAGTGCAATCCAATAGCAAAGGGTATTGCTGTGTCCCTAAAGGGACATAATAGAATTGTTGGATTGGCTCATGCCAGCTCATATTTATATCCCTTGGCTATGTACTGGGCTAGAGATGAAGTTCACCATAGCTACCTGTGTGTAAATTTCCATCCGTGATATTTTGTATCAACATGATTTTGAGATTCTGAAGTGATTTCTTTTATTCTTCAAAGTGTTGTAAAGATGATAAACTGTTTTCATTATTGTATTGTTGAAATAAATTTGGCGTGCACGAGTCTCTATCTCTATTACAAAGGCTGCAGTTGTTTCCAGGTCTACTTTTAAAAACTGTATTAAACTTAAATATCCTTTGGCTGGATGTTGCATTTTAGTGCACGGAGCATTGGGCAGAAATGGAGACAAAGACAGCTAGTAGTTTGTGGCCTTTGGGCCATAGAAATGATGTGTGTCATCAGCGGAGATATATATACTCTTCATTTACTTAAGCCAGTGGTGTATATAAAAATGACACCTATAGTTCCTCAACTTCAATATTATTGATTATGATCACTGTTCTTGCACCTTTTAAATATGTTCTTTTAACTCAGATGTGCTTTGGATTTTTATAGTGCTTTAGTTAAGATCCATTTTCAGTTGCTGTCCTTTGCTGGTTTGGATTGTAGGTGTTCTCTTAATACTCAGTGCATGCATTAATTGGATTATGATACAAGGTCTTTTGAAGTGAACAAATCTTGGTGGCTCTCGTGGCCTAGAGGTTAAGGTTTTGGCCTCTCATTCAAAGGTCTCGGATTTGAAATCCGGGTAGCGACCAAAACTTTTTTTTCCCTATAATTGTTTCCTTTCTCCTCCTTTCCTGCTCTCTAGCAATGTTCTGTCATCTGCTGTTGTCTCCTCTTTCTGCCCCCCCCCCCCCCCCTCCTTTGCCCCCTCCTTTGGGCTCGTGACTCTTTCTACAGCCTTTCTACTGTTACTCCTTGGCTCCTTCTTACTGCTGTCTTTCAGCCACACCCCAGATTTTCTGGTAGGAAAGATCTACACCTAGTCTTCTCGGACAAGGGAGAAAAATCTTGGAGGGCTCGTGTGCAAGTTGCGCTCTATAAAGATCCCTTGATGATCTAAAATCGATAAGAGTAGGCTTCGCCCACCACCCGAGCAAAATTCGAAATTTCCTACCAACTGAAAAAGTTTAATGTGTCCCGTGCGCTCATATGACCTTATGCAGTTGCAAGCGACGTAAAACACTTACCAAAAGAAAAAAAAGAACAAATCTAGGTTAAACACTTTTTTTTTTATAACAGGCCGCACATTGATTAGGATGACCGACATCAAGTTGGAAAAGATTGGAATACTTGATGCAACTCACAGGTAATTATGATTAATTTTTTTCTTAACGAATGTATTCAAGTTTCTTAAAATTTTGCACAAGCAGCTTTGTTACAGCCTTCATTGTTTATGTTGTTTATATTGCTGCTCATTTATATTATGCTTGTGATTGTAAGCCTACTTGTGTGTGCATGTGTGTGCACGTGTGTGCATGTGTGTGTGTGTGTGTGTGGGTGTGTGTGTGTGTGTACACGTGGTGGAACACCAAACCAATGTGCCAGGATCTGGACAATAAAGATGTATCTTATCTCTTATCTTATATCTTATCAGGCTTTTATTTTTCTGAAAGACTCGGTTTTGATCTCAGGGAAACTGTTGAGAGTCATAAAAACGCATCTGATGTGAAACAGAAAATGGGTACTAACACTTATGTACTAGATATTGGCAATTAAAGAAAACTAGGGAGGAGTTGCTTCCTTGAAGTCTTTCTTTTTTCAGACGACATTTTTTTCATTGCAGAGTTTTATTATTTATTATTATAATTTATTTATTGTCTTGTATGAAACAATGGATGATTCGGTAAATGCTGTGTAAATGGAGAAGTCTGGTTTGTACCTATCATATGAGTATGTGTTTATTGGTTTTTTTGTTTTTTTATTTTCTTTAAGACATGACCTGATGCAATTCATCCTACGGCTTCGTCTGAAACATGAAATGTCAGACCTGCGCAATCTGAATCAAAGAGGTATGTTTTTACTATCAGCATTTTCACTGAAGTCGTGTGTATATATATATATAATATATATATATATATATATATAGAGCAATACCCACCGAGCGCGTTTTGTTCTGCCGATTTTTGGCCCCCGCCGCAGGGGTGTTTCTTGGGACGAACTAACCCAAAGGTTGTTGTCTCAACTCGCTCTCATGCCGCTTCTCGTGAATGGATATGAATGAAACTTGGCAGCCAATCAGAAAAGAGGTCAATCTCGTAGTATGCAGTTTGACAACATTGTACCCATCCTAGAAGCAGTCGAAAACTTTTGCGAAAGTGGTTGATTTGGTGCGCTTTGAAGATTTTTCTGAGCTGTGATTTGTCAAACTGACTGATATGTTGTACACCATTTTTCTTTATTCCCTTAAAATTTCGTGCTTCTGTGTTTAGCGGTTTTGGCGTAATCTTTAAAAATGTGGGAGTAACTAAGGGAAAAGCGGCATTTCCATTTGCGCGTGCTGGGTGAACAACCGGCGGCTGAGAAATTTCCACTGAGTGATGTCATCAGCCATCGGTCGCTACGAACGAGGCCCCGCTTATGTGAACCGGAAAGGGGGGGAAGGATACTTGAAAACTAAACGGGGGCCTTGATAACTTGCATTTGTGTTGCATTTTAGTCACAATAAGATAGAGGTGGTCATTTTTATTTGCTTAATTGCATGAGAGAAGAATAGAAACAGAAAAGCAAACATCTAAGAAGTGCTATGACATTGTGTTTGCGTTATGAAAGCCTATTCCCCCCTCTTTGGAAAGCACACACTTGGACTCGTCCTGTTTGCTCTGTTTGGAAAAGTGAGGCATTAAGATTGTTTTTAAAGAGTATGGTACTTATTTAGTCCAGTCTGGGAAGATAGTCTCATTTATTCATTGCGCGCGTGTGCATGTGTGTGTGTGTGTGTTTGTGTGTGTGTGTGTGAGAGAGAGAGAGAGAAAAAGAGAAAGGGGGGGGGGGTGTAAATATCTGTTACATTTATAATACATGTATGAGTTGTAGCCTACACATGCGAAATATTCCCAGGACTTGTAAACTATAATAATATTATCTAAACGCATCTTAATCTACCACACAATAGGACGCTGTCCAACGATGGATATATACGGAGACGGTCTTATTTACTATTACAAAGTGTGCATGCTTTTACTAATAGTGAAATGGATTTATTAGACTAATAAATCCAGCTCTCTACTTAAATTTTTGTGACAAATTGATCCAGTGCATTGCTTAGCAAGGAGGAATCTTTTACGTTGCCAAGTTTCATTCAAATATCATGACTTTGGGAGAAGATATGACTGATAATCTTTGTAAATCTGTAAAGAACACCACTTTTTTTAACGTGTTAATGTCTTTACAACTCAAAAAGTAGGATAGATATTAAAAATCTGACAGCATGACTAGATCCTGCATTAAAAACTGTACTCATAGTTAAAAATGCGAACTTCCTAACCAACACCGGCAAAGTCGCTTCAGGGCTCATTAACCCTGTGACTCCGAGCTGGGGAGCCCCGGCGGGCTGCTCAGTCACGCTAACTAAAGTTAACAGAATCGGGCGAAAAGTGACGCCGTGACATATGTGCAAATATGGGGGAGATTTAAGTGCGTTTCTTTGAAAGTGAAACGGAACAGCCATGTTTTAGAAGTAAGATTTCCCGATGAATTTTTCATCATGGAAGATATTGTCTTTATGTTGTGGCATCAGTGGTCGAGTGATTCGGCTGTTGGGTTCACCACAGAAAAGTCATGGGTTTGAACCCCTCAAAGGGCCCAATGTTGTGTCCTTGGGAAAGGCACCTTACACAAATTATCCTCACTTCACATAAGTGGGAATGGGACCTGGTTTGTCAGTTTGTTGCTGCTTGAGTGCTTGATAAACTTTCCAGGAAGTCGAGAACGTTTATGCGAGTTCTTAGGTCTGCCTCGGTAATAATATAGATTGTAAAGTGCACAGAGCTTTCTGTTGAGCAGGGATATGTGCTCTGCAAATGCTATTCTGTATTTATTTATTTATCTAGTTTATGCCTTGTAAAGAAGTTTATTTTGTTTGTTTCCAGGTTCAGGATTTGAACTGAAGCTTCCAGATCCAAACCGACAGTCAACAACAGATAAGCTGACAGTTGAGAAATACACTGGTGGAAAATGAAAAAAGTTGTTGCTTATTCAAACTAACACAAATGAAAGTGCAATAATCTATCAAGTATTCCTGTGCCTCTACCTATTCAAGCTGTATGGGCTTTTCGCAGCTCTGCATGTCAAAAGGTCGTAACAGATTTTGGTTGTAAAGGAATGGAGGACGGGCATATCGGTACTGCTGTTAAACATAGCTGATGTGAATAGTCAAGGAACTTTCTTGTCAGATATTTTCCGGCTGTCATGGAAAAATGCATCTGTAGCTGTGATATGTATAGGTATACCAGTTTCGGCCTTACAATATTTATAAGCTGGTTTCCTGCCTTTGTATCCTCCCAAATGTGTAAAGTTTAGGAACAGAGGCCTCTTCCCCTCTTTCTTTGTGTCCTCCCAAATGTGTAAAGTGTAGGAACAGAGGCCTCTTCCCCTCTTTCTTTGTGTCCTCCCAAATGTGTAAAGTGTAGGAACAGAGGCCTCTTCCCCTCTTTCTTTGTATCCTCCCAAATGTGTAAAGTGTAGGAACAGAGGCCTCTTCCCCTCTTTCTTTGTGTCCTCCCAAATGTGTAAAGTGTAGGAACAGAGGCCTCTTCCCCTCTTTCTTTGTCCTTCCATTCCTCTACATTCTCTTTTCCTTCCGCTTTCCAAAACTCCCCATCCCCCTCTCCCAGTGTCAAATCCATAGCAGCTAGTGGGTTGCTTGTGTGGAGTTGGAGTTGTGACATTCCTGTAGACTTGTGCATTCGGCATTGCTGAAAGCCCAACGTAAATTAGTCCACTTTGGAATATAAGGTTTTCCTAAGCTGAAACCCCATTGGGCAGAGGATTTGGTATAAACAGACTAACTACTTTCTACGCAGCATTGCCTTTGGAATAGTCCTGACTATTTTGAACTGTCAAGAAACTTAACATAATACATCCATTTTTCATTTTTACTCCTGTCTTTAATTGTGGGATCGTAAAAATAACTCTGAATGTTTATGGGATTCAAAAGAAACTGTAACGTGTCATTCCATCCTTCTATGAAGATCTGTGTATTCCTGTTTCATTTTAAAATACAGATGCTCTCATATCTTTTCATCAAATTGAAATAATATCAGGTGTTGTAAACAATGTATCATCTGTAAAATTTCTCTGTCTTAAACTGTGCTGAATTCTACAGTCTTGCAAGTATGTGTCCTTTTCAGCTTGTCCAATCATATTTCTCCCAGTCATTCCTTGTCATACCATTAATTGACCATTGCTCACATTCTCAAATTTTTGCACCAACTGACGTATGGAACTTTTTTAAATGTCATCATACACACCCATGCTGTTGATCAATGAGTCAAAAAGAGTTCTCTTCATCATCTTTGTTTTCCCCCACATTCTGTCTATGTTTAACTGTTTACCAACTTGAGCAGTGTTGCACAGAGCCTACTGATTAGCCCCTGGAGCGGCATTGCCTAGTGTTTCAATCGCCCAACGCACACCCATCACTGCTGTGGTATATGCATTTCTATGAGGTCTAGGAAGGATGTCTGATTGGATGTGACTGAAAGCGAGGCTATAAAGCGCAAGTAGAGTTGAGTTTTTTTCTTTGAGTATTTGAATGGTCGAAATTGACCCTGGAATGGTGCATGTGTGAAATTTTAAAAGCGAACATGACTTATCGAAGGGTGCAATGGAGTTGAAACGTGGATAAACCCAAGGAAACTTTAAAAATACACAATAAATTGCCTACTAAAACAATGTCACCAAACAAAACACATCGCAAGTTCATTTCTTGGTCTACTGTTACATCATATTTTTAAGTCACTGGAGGAGCTTATTATTCTTTTAATTTGCTGAAATAAATGGGTAACGAATGAAAACCTGATAGTCACAACTATATAATGGAAGAAATAGGTAACTTGCCTATACTGTACTGCAGTGGAAACTGACTTGTTAGAAGCAGTATTCTTTTTCTAATATAGTAATATAATTATAGTTGTGTTTTTCTCAGATTATTTTGTAGCTTTTAAAATTACTTTTTTTAAAAACAAGTACAATATTTTCAGAGGATTATCTACCTTGTTTTAGGGATTCAAGGCATGCATCAGGACAGCTGCCTAACGGGTAAATGGTTACAAGCAAATTAACCCGGCCATAAAAAGTATAAATGTGTTCTTACATATTTTAAAAAGTTACAGAATGCTATTGCAAGTCTGATAATCTCCAGAATATCGTTTCCCAGCATCCACCCCCATGCTTGCTTAGAACCAATGATTCAGTCAGATTCATGGACAAGTAACTATGCGTTTGTGTCAGATCTGTACTCTTCAATTAATAATAGGCCTATGGGAGTTTCTCTTTGTTATTTTGGTATAATTGCTGTAGTAGTGATTCCAGAACAGATATATGAAAATCAAAACCAGTTTTTATGCTTTTGTCATTTTTAAGTAGCGAAATTCCAGGCTGTCCCAGTCCAACTCTGAATGATTTATTTTCTTTAACTGGTTTTGCTTACTCCATGTCTTTAACCAGTGTTAGCTTTTCTGTGGAGTTTTACTGGCACCTTGACCTTCTGATGTATTGGTGTATTTCTTATTATTGATGCATCATGTGATTCATTGTTGTAATTTCTGTTTTGTGAGACTAATCGTGATACTGATTTAAGTTAGCACACGCATGATATCAATATTCTTATAAGACACAACATTTTCAAAAATTTCTTTACAGTTTCTTGGATACCTGTATTGAAATATTGAATTGCTCTCTTTCTTTTTACATTAATCTTTTTCCGTATCATGCCTTTTTCATATTGTGCTCATCTTTCCTTTTCAGTGCCTCAACTGCCTCATTTTATTGTTCAATGTTTGATATGAAATAAGATTTGTGTTCCTGTCAACTCAACATAGGCTGTCTCGAAAGCAGGGACCCCCTTATTAACACTCAGGCTTTTATTTTGATGGGATGGAAAGTAGAAAAGCATTGTATACAATTCTCTCTCAACAAGTAAAAGCTTAGTGTCTGAAAATTTTCCTCACAATCTCACTTATGTTGGAGTCGAACCTGAGTTTATCACATTCAAGTCTACTGATTCTTTAATGTGGCATTTATAGTGTAGTTAGAACTGGACAGTGAAGCCTTTTGTGATCATGAACCCAATTTGTGCTTAGTGTTCACTTTAATTTAAGGTACACCACGGCAGTAGCTGACAGCCAGAAAAAGTCGATTTTGGTATTCAAAACCGATTTTTCGATTTTGATCTATCTTAGTAGAGCAACATCTGCTTTACCGATTGGAAATATTTTCAAGTGTCTAAGACATCTATTAAGTGCTCATATATGCCAAGTTTGAGAACATTTTGTTGAAATAGACCAGTATGAATTAGTTTGTTTTTGCAGTTTTCTCAAAATTATGATTTTTTTAGGGGGTTGGGTCACCTGTGCAGAGATATTTCTGAAAGTACATGTCACAGCTCAATCCCGCTTTGCATGACTGCTTCTAGATATATGTTTGCAACATACTAAAAGATTGTTGTGATATTGTAATAAGTTTTCTGTCAGGGTAAAAACGATTGACAGCATCACTCTGATTTGTGATCAATTTTTTGTCCGTGTATCGTATATGACACTAAAAGGGCAGTTACAAGAAAAGTATGAGACTTGGGAAAGTAAATCTTTAGTACTTTGCAGGTTGTATATACCGGAACACTGTGTTAAAAAATCTAGGCTGAATCAATTCAACCTTTTTCAGAATCCCTGTACAGAATTTGCGCAAATTTTGGTCTGTCGAACCCTTTGCATCTGAAGAATTCAGAAAATTGACAGTGAAATCATATAGGGATAGTGTGTTTCTGTTTCTTGACCCATTTTGGTTATTGGGAAGCCCAGTATACTTACTTTAGATCTCAAACAAAAAAACTCCCTTCAGCTGTACCTAGTGTCCCTTAAAAATAACTAGCTGAACGGGATGAACAGGTACTCAGTTTGTGTTTAGCACAACAACAGATTTAATTAATTTACTCACCGCCAACTGTAGAGGACCTCGGTGTAGACCACGTTGGGTGTTAGTCCATGTGGTGCCAGGTGGTAAATGTTGTTCTTATCCCCAGTTCTGAACTGGACGACGTACAGCATGCCATGAGGAAAAACAGGCTGCGTGAGATTCAGTCCCACACATTTGAGTGTTTGGCCCTGCGCCTTGTTGATGGTCATGGCGAAGCAGGGTCGAAGCGGTAATTGTGGATGCTGGAACTTGAATGGCAGCTGTGTGTCGGATGGTTCAAGTGGTATGCGGGGAATGAAATGACGCTGTCCTTTGTATGCACCGGCGACAGTTTAAACTTCGGCTCCATTGGGGGAACAACTGACCACAACACATCATGTTCCTTTGATGAGCTCAGGTGGTTTCAATGAGCGCATCAACATGACAGGCATTCCCATCTTCAGCTGCAGGGAGTGAGGGGGGAGTCCCGAAATTTCAATGGAATTTAGAAATTCAAATGGATACTGTACTGATTCTCCGTCATTCACCATTCTATTGATTGAAATGTAGGTCATCTCAGGTGTTGATAATGTATCTAACAAATTGTTGTTAGTTTTGGTCACTGTCTCGTTTAAAGCACTTAGAATCGCTCTGTCAGTTAACCACACCGGATTTACATGATTCTGTGAGAAGGTTGGGAACACATTGTCGATCAGCGCATCGATATTTCCAACCTCATTTCTAAAGTCACTTAGTGATATGACATCTGGTTCAGAGGTCTGAGAAATAAGTTGTCCATCGCCTACTTTCAAAAGCAGATCAGGAAAACATTGAATCCCCGTCATTCATGAGAACTCTCATATTCTACGTTAGCTTGAATGTATGAACATGCTCCCACAGCTGTGACTTTTTCAAACTGGCGTTCACAACGTTTGCTCTTGTGCCTTGTGGAATCATAGGAAGGATCTGTCTGAAATCCCCACACATCAATATGAGGAGACCACCCATCACTGGTTCTGAGGATCGCAGGTCTTGAAATGTGCGGTCAAGGGCTTCAATTACCTTTTTGTATAGCATTGGAGCTTCATGGATGATCAAAACAGTTGCCTCTCGAATCAGCATTGCCAGTGCAGATCCCTTTTTGATGGAGCACATTGGTTGTTCTGATTTTGTGACTTTGAGAGGTACTTTGAACGTCTTGTGAACAGTTCATCTGCCAGGAAGGAGTGTTGCTGCCAAAACACTACTTGCAATCGCAATAGCTATTCTACCTTGTGCCCTTTGTGAAGCCAGCAATGTGTTAATGAGAAACGTCTTTCCGCATCCTCCTGGTGCATCCAAGAAGTATATTCCTCCTTGTTGGTTGTCAATAGCTTCATTAATGCTGGTATAGACGTCATTCTGCTCTGAGGTCAACATATTTATGTTCTCTTCCACAGTCTCTTTTTCCTGCTGAATATCATATGCATACTCAGTTTCCACTGCACTGTTAAGTGAAACTTGGCGGTCTGGTTTTGGCAAACCGAAAGTCTCAAGAGCGTCACCATTCATAGACAAAACAATGTCCTCAATACTTATTAGGGCCATAGGTTTTGATTGCTCAACTATAAAGCTCTGATGGATAAAGTCTTCACAGAGCGGAGATTCAAAGTCATTCCAAAGTTCTGCTGGTTTGGCTTGTAGTGTGTGAACTAAGAGAATAGCAAAAAGAGTCCTTAAGGATTGTGGATGATGACTTGCAGCTGCTTCTTGGAGTGTCTTTTGATGTGCGTAGTCATGTTCCAGTAATCCATGGGAAATGCATGCTTCCTTGTATATTGCCAGTTCAGGACCTTCAAAATATCTAAGACTCTTGAAAGAAGTAGGGCCTTTCACAACTGTCCACAGGAAGCGGAGAAAAAAGCACTCCCCCTGTTTTGGACTAACAATGAACATTCTTCCAATGGTGAGAGTTTCAAACACTTCATGTCCATTCTCTTCCTCCCTGTCACCTCTTTTGCGTCCAGGACTTTGACGTAGTATTCCGTGTACAGTAGCTGGGGATATCCACATACACTAAAGGTTTTGCTAAATTGTCACTTTCACAAAGACAGAAAAAAGCTGTTACAGTTGTTGTGGGTGGAGGGGCAGCTGCAACATTCATGACAGTTTCTTCATTGAAATAAACATGTTGTCCTTTTTCCAAATGGACAGACTGTTGCACAACTGCAGGGTGTCGCTCCGTAAGGGGGAATTAAAAAATACGCCATGCAGCCTCAGTACTGCCAGTGTACCTTGCGTTGACAAAGTTTGATACTTCATCCCTTCGACTTTCATGCTGAAGTTGAAACGTTGCCTGGTCCACTCTTTTGTGCACACATATTTTAGAACATACTTGATGCATTGTGTTGAAGAACAAATTTCAACGTTCACATGACATTTCAGCTGCATTAGCAACAATGGATTAAAAGGTTCAACCCACCTATTGTCAGCAGACACATCTCTCATGCTCACAACTTTGATTGTTGTATTGCCATCGTTGTCTGGACTCCATCTCCTGTACTTTGGATAGCTGTCATTACCACCTTCTGTTTGGTGCTGGCATGGCATTGGATATTTCTTGGTGCATTTTCCATCTTTCATGCACGACGAGTTTGGATTTAAATGGCTTGGTCACAATAGAATAGAGTTCCAGATGTAAGTCTTTGTCTGGTAGTTCTGCAGAAACTACTCTATCAATGAGGTCAGGTCAAATTTTTGCATCCTCCTTCAGCCAGAGAAGAATCCTCTCTTTTGAAATTCAATGGAGTAGAGCCATGCCTGCAGGGTCCCAAAGCAGCCGTCTTTCATTAAAGCCATTGCTTTATTCAGTTTTTGTTTGAAGACTCTCACGATCAGATCTGGTCGATCATGAGGCTGTTGATTCTCTGATAGATTTTCAACAATTTCAGGCCATTTGAGGTATGTCGTTACTGTTATGAACAGATCTGAACACCCATATTTCCGCACATAGCACATGGCATCTTTCTGTTTCTCAAACATATACTGTGGACCTCCAGTGTAGGAAGATGGCAAAATGATTCTTTGTCCAAGGTTAGTGGGGTCTGCATTGTCTTGGTGTGAAGCGGTATCTCGAAGTTCACCGTAGTTGTCAGCTCTTCATCTGCCTTGTTGAAAACAGATGAATTGAAGACGGCTACATTCACTTTTCACATATGCGTCAACAATAAACTGTTGATATAGTTTTTTGGCTCACAATGTATAATTGTTTGGTCTAATGAGAAAATGAAAACAGTAGTACTGCAGCTCTGTGATTTTATGTCTGCTGGTGAGTTTCAACTGAAGATTCCATCCATCTGTACCGAAAGGGGAAAAGTAGAGGATATTGAAGAGGATCATACGCCTTGTACAGCTCACTGATACGCTTACACTTGTCATTACGTATGTGGAGAACAATATCTCATTGACCCACAGGATCATTTGGCATGGAAATAGTGACATCACGTGAAGACGATGGAGCATTAAATCTTCTTTCATACACTCCAGAGGGCCTTGCCTTTTCACTGTTAACGATGACATAAGAGTCGAAATGTGAGCGTGCGAATTCATAATATGCACTTTTCAGATGTATGACATACAAATTATGGCAATGCAACATGGCTTGAAGATCAGAAATTATCCCAGGCTCAAGTCCTTGGAAAAGACTGTTTCTGCGCTCTGAGGCTGCTTCACTTTCCATGAAATAAACTTGTAGAAATGAATGCTTATTTTGGGTGGCAGGAAGGAGAGAGCCAATACGATGATATATTTGACCCTGTGCGCGAAACTGTGGATTCCCTCCTTTGAGGGTTGCATCGCTATAGCCCTTGGATGTGAGCTGAAAGCAATTGTTGTTCAGCCTGATTTTCTCCAGAAAGTGAGTGGACAGTGTCGACGCACCAGACAGAAGGATTTGCAGTTCAGGAGGTGGTTTTGGAAATGCATGCAGATGAACTTTGCCATTGCTACTGCACATACATTGTGTTTCATATGGAAGTCTTATGGCCGGGCAGTGTGTACACTGTGTTGTCAGTTCCCCAATGTAGCACTCGTACTAAAACGAATTGACACTGTAGAGGAATGCTTTTGAGAGATTTAGATCTAGAGAGTCCCCATCATTTAGTTGTTGATCTAGACCACCTCGACCTTTGCAAGCGCAAGGTGTTCCAACTGCAGAACGTCGTTTTCTTTTCAGGATGGCCAGGTGCTGTCTAGATCTTGATCTAGATTCTAATCTAAGACCTGTTGACGTTGTTCCCAGTAGCAAGAAAAAGAATTTGACAAAGGAGTCCTGAAAAAACGATGATGGGCATCAAAGGAAAGGATCACTGTCGAATTTAGCACCAAGTAAAAAAAGAAAACATGAGGCTAGATCTATACAGGTCGCACACTTAAAATAGTGCTCAGTATTGCGCGACAATGCGCGATAGTATCAAAAGAAAGTACGAGTTGAAATAAACAAACCTGGCGGATTTTCTAAAATTACAGAGATAGAAGCGTCGGCCTACAAAAGCGATCGGCGAAATAAAAAAAATTAGCTTTTTGCAGCAAAACTGTCTCAAAACTGAAAAAACCAAGAATATTTTAAAGAATCTTTTGGCGAAAACCGCATGTCGATCGATGCAGCCTTTGAATAGCAAAATTCAGCCACCACAAATAGATAATAGATATTAAATTTGTTTTTATTTTTCTGTCATAAAATTTAATCTTATTTATTTTTTGTTCAGAAATATACTTTGGTTTGTGTAGGTGTAAAGTCTCTTTCAATAATTGGAATCCTTTAGGCTTTATCACTTCTAAGATTGTCTGGTATTTTTACAGCTCCATGGGACCCTGTGTAAGTAAATCTTTCAGACCCACTTTGAATAGTCATGTATGATTCTGCAGAATTTTGAACAGGGCAAGGGTTCAGACTGTTAGACAAGCATCTTTCTTAAAATTTCTACCCCACTGCCCCACTTTTGATGAGCATATTTGTACACGGACCAAAACCTTTTGCATAGTTTTGTTGGTGTGTTTTCATTGATGTTTTGTTCAATGTGCAAGTCCCACAATACTGTGCCTTCATCAAAGCATAAATAATTTTCTTTGTTCACTTTTAATTGCAGTGATTCTTTTGCCTCATTGTTCTTTCCTAATAATTTTTTTTTTCTTCTCGGCCTGTTACATTGTGCCTGTTGAGAGTGTGTTTTTATGTGTAAATGTACAAGTACGTGCAGCATAAATGGTTGGACACAAAAGTATCTCTTAATAAAGTGTAAACCAGTTGGAGAAAAAAAAAAAATCCCACTACTGATACTAAAGAAACACTCATCTCAGACTGATCAATCTTAAATCTACTGCTGTGCATTAGAAAAATGAAATAAACTGTATACATGTTAAAGCAAGCGCTATCTTAGACATTACAATACAATGGCAGGTCTTGTTGCCTTGTTTTGATTTGTGTTAATTGGAGTTATACTTTTCCAAATCTTCTAACTGTAGCTTGCAGTTTGCAGTCAAACTGCTTCAGCTTTTAGATGCAAAACTATTCTGAATTCTTAATAACCCCTTCTTTGCTGAAAATGTTTTTTGCTGTTGCCTTCCCTCAGTGGTCAATGTAAATTGTTTTGTGTAAGATTGATTTAATTGTAAATGTGTGTGCAAGATATGTTTTGTTTTCAAAGGACATTCATTATGCTTACATCATTTTCATAATTTGATCAGCATTGATTTAATTATGCAGGGCCAACATTACATCTTGTTACTTTCCCCAACTGCTCTTTATTATTTGCAGTGATCTTGATGAACATTTGAAGAATTTTTTTATCATCTGTAGATACCAGTAACCAATTTTAGTTTTGAAGAATTAACCATCTTTAACTTTAATAATCTTTACATTTCTCATTTGTGTAGTATGAGTAAGACTAATACTACTAACAGCTGTGATTGTTGAACTGTTACACTTATCAAAAATATAAATGGACATTATGATCACTGCAAAAGATAAAACAACACAAGGGAGAAAACAACTGATGTAATAAAGTAAAGTTGTGTTGAATGAAAAGTGTATTATGAACATACTTTGAGTTCAAATGTCGTATCAGTTTCTTTGAGTTATGTTCCAGTCATTGTTGCTGTCAAGGGAAAAATCCTCTTTTTTTGTGATACTGATGCATTCCACTTCATTTTTGTTTTGTTGTCATGTGACTATCCTTGTGTGTACAGTGATTATATCCCTATGATCTTTTTAAAAAAGGATAAATTATGCATTTTGGAGAATTAGATTTGTCATTATTGTCTTGTAAATACTATGGTCATGATAATGATGTGCTGCTGTGCATGGTAATTGCTTTCTTCACACAAGTTGTAGGTATTTCAGTGTATGCTTGTCATTTTTTTTCAGTTGCATTTAATAATAGCTAGTAGTAGCATATAAGCATTTACCTCTAGAATTTTTTATTCATAATGATATGAACGGAGAGCAATGGGTGTCTGTTTCAATTCTTTAAAAAAGAAGTGCTTTCAGAACTGACTGTGCCGTAATATGAAAAGGAACATTTTCTCAATTTTGTCTCTATGGTGCATAACAAAAAGATTTCAGTCAAATGAATAGACTAGCAACAGGTCACTGCCTAAGACACTCTGTCATTTCTAACCCCCCCCCCCCTCCCCCTCCCCCTACATTGAGTAAAGAGAGGAAGTATCTTTTTCCTATCAGTGTTCCCCCGGGGAGGTGCTGCTAGCTGAAGTGTCTTTAGGCCATTCCCAAAGGGGGGGGGACATTAACATGTTCTTGTATAATGCTCAGTAGAATTGTAAATGGGCTGATTCATCAATGTCATGCTCATTACTGTGTCTGAACTGCATGCGGGGAACTGCTGCTTTTTCTTTCCTAATTCTTACTATCGTCATTTTTTCTCTACTTTTTTTGTATGTTTGTCACTCTCTTGTGAGCTTACTATTCCCGGGATGCCTTGATAGTCGAAGCAGACTTTGTGCTGTTGAGGCTAGAGAGGTGAGCAGAGAAAGCCTGATTCCCTATTTGGACTTCTTCGTTGACATCCACCCCTTGGCGCTCTTATGACCTTATGCAGTTGCAAGTGCTGTAAAAACTCTACAAAACTAAAAATCATGTTGGTGAACATACTTTTTCTCGGTATGTTTGCTCATCTGATCTATACTTGCGAATGAACTCTATTCTTTTCACTTTTTTCCCCCTTTTTTTTTAACGCTTTGCCATCACAAGGTTCATATAGTTAAAAACCCTTGCCATCACAAGCATTTTGGGGGAAATCCGAAAAAACTGGGTGGTAAACATTGCAGATCAACGTTTGTGACGGGAGCGGAAGTTCGGCATTCTTGCCGATCGGCGAGATGTGACAGCAAAGTGTTAATAAGCTTCTTTTTGAGCGTTTGCCACTTCATCCTCGTGAGATTATTTATGTTGCTTGATCTGTCCTGTAATAAAATATGGTAACTTACGTTCAAAAGCTTTTGTGTGGTTTTGGCATTTTTCATGCAGAAAATCATCCTTTTCAAAGTCAGTCTCATCTTTATATTATGTATGTTATGAGTAATTTTTTTAAACAAGATCTTTTCAAATAATATGCAGAATTTCTCAGTCATGTACAGGATAAATGCTGTTTGTTTCTTTTCTGTACATATTGTTTTGTTTTGGGTATTTTTTTGTTTGTTTGCTGTGAGGCGCTCAGTGCTTTTAAACTTGTGTTTACCTTATCGAGCTAGAGGTAGAGATTGTTTCCGAAGATAATATGAAGAAAACACGACTGATGATAGAGATCAATTTATTTGCTCTGGGAACACTGATTTTCCACTTCACCCTATCCGTGCGTCGTGTTTTACTATCGTACCCATACGATGTGGGGAACTCTGTGCCACCACTTTTCAAAGAGGAAATTTACTCGTCAGTCCGATCTGTACACTTTGCATAGCAGTCTGTCTAAATGATTTTTTAAAGAAATACTGAAAGTTTCAAAAGAGATCTTCGCACTAGAAGTATTCTAAAATGTGAAGAATACAACTCCGGGGGTACAAAATTACCCCAGGGCTTACAGACAGGGTTAAATGTTCTACTTGGGACAGAAAGCTCACTGGACATACCAGTACCTTTTTCCGTGTCTTCAAAGGTACAATCTGGCACCAGTCGTTACAAACAAAAGACATGAGTTCCATTCCTGAGTGGGGAAGTTTTCTTTTAATAATCGAGTATCTCCATCTGTCTGTCAGGATGTTCTATTCAACCTGGGTCGGCCCAGTAGCGATAGGCAGGGTGGAAGCAGTCTGCCTTCTTACTTACTTACTACCCGCCATGCCATCTGGCGTTTAGGGCTGCAACAAAGAATCTCCAGTTCTGTCTGTTTTGGGCAATCTTGGTCAACGTCCCCCTCGAATGGTTCCAGGACTTCATTTTAGACTCTACTGTGCGTCTCCAGGTCACTTTGAGTCTTCCCCTCTTGCGATGTCCTTCGGGTGTCCAGTGAAGGGCAGTCTTTACAATAGAGTATGTTCTCTTCTCAGAAAATACCCAATCCATCTCCATCTTCTCCTTGTTATTATGGTGGTCATGTCCTCTTGCCTACTTTTCCGTAAAAGATCTGCGTTGGAATTCTTGTTGGGCCGAAAGATTTGGAGGATTTGGCGTAAGTTGGTTGTATGAAAAGAAGATAACTTGGCATGGTCGTGATCAGTCATCCTCCAGCATTCAGGTCCATATAGGAGTATGGATAGTACACAGCTGTTATACAGTTTTAACTTGGTCTGTATACTGAACTGTCCTGACTTCCAGATGTTGTTCATGCTTCTGTGTACAGATCTTGCCTTGTCTGTTCATGATGTCCTCCTTTGTGCCGCCGTCAGTTTTAATTATGCTGCCTAGGTACGTAAATTTGTGTCATAGGCAGGTCTGCGTTCACCCTAATCAGCGATGGGGAGCCTACATTCAGTGTCATCACTTCTGTCTTCTTCTGGCTTATTCTTAATCCAATCTGGCATCTGTATTTATGGAGTCGGTTTGTTTTTTCTTGCATGTGCTGGTTGGTATGGGAGAGTAGTGCAAGGTCGTCAGCAAAATCAAGATCCTCGAGGGTGGAGAAGAAGGTCCACCTTATGCCTCTTGATGCATCCTTTGTTGTTTTCCTAATGATCCAGTCAATGGCAAGGCTGAACAGAATTGCTGACGTGTTGCATCCTTGTCTAACTCCTGTCTTTACCTCAAAAGCAATAGTACTGTTTCCAACGGCGCACTTGAAGTTTTAGTAGAAGCTGTTGATGACCTCAACTTTCTTGCAAGGGATTCCATAAGATCGTAGAATGCAACAAAGACTTTGTCTGTGCACGCTGTCGAAGTCTGCCTCCTAACACATCTAAATTGTGTCAATGAGGACGTGATATACTTTCAATAACTAAGCTAAGACAAAGATAGACTGAAAATATAGCATAGCCAGGTGACTTAACAGTGCCGGTGTAATGTTTGGAGGCCCGTGTCTTGAGAAATTGACCTGGGTTTCATTTGATGACTTTTGTATCACATCGTATAGGTAGAAAGAAGGTTAGGAAACTCAAAGTGAATCTTGCTGTTTCTTCTATGCAGAGAAATCCCCCTTCATGATGGAAAATTCATATTTGAATGCATCTTCCTTGTAAAATTTGTATGTATGTACGTTTGTTTAAGTAGGGCTTGAATTTTTCCTTATTTTTTGTTTTGACATTTCAAAATGGCTTTTTAGTATTTGCTATTACTTAATAAGTCTCTACACCTACAAAGTGTGCTGTTTTATTATGCTGGCTGTGTATTTCAAACCACAGGTAAAGAATGCCTATCCTTTTGATCATTGGCTGTATTGAATTGAGCTTGTTTTATTTTGCTTTCTATTATTTTGTTGTAGGATTGCGTCCATTTTTGTACTATATAAAAGTCTACAGGAAGCTTTTGCTGTATGAAAAAACCCAATGGACCCTTAAATTTCTGCTTTGGCATTTTATTGTTAAAAAGCCTGCTTGGTGTTTTAGGCTGTCAGCATAATGCTATCTCTCCGATCAGCTTACATACTTTAGATAACCCAACTAAATTTGGCATCCGGTATCTAACATCACTCTTAAATTATTGTCAGTTTCTCTCATGATTCACTTTTTTTTCATAATTTTGGGGGCATGTTGTTGGAGAACATCTTTGGTAGGCCTTACTTATTGACTATCCTTTTTTTGCTTGTTACTGTCTTCCCTTTTTAAAAATCTCAGCACTAGCTAGCCATTATTGTGTTGATGATGTGATTCTCTTTCCATTCTCTGTCAAAGCGATGAATTTTTATAAAAATAGGATTGTGTGTCTATGCCAGTTATCACTTTTAAGATTGAGTTTACCCCCAGGGCAGTGCCACTGACTGTAGTGTCTTTAGGCCATTCCCAAAGGGGGGACATTTCTCGTTCAAGCACAGTAGAATCGTAAATGGGCAGGTTCATGTCATGCTCATAACTGTGCCTGATCTACAAGAGGGAACTGCTGCTTTTTCTTTCTTAATCCTTACTATTGTCATTTTCCTCTACTTCTTTTGTATGTCTGTCACTCTCTTGTGACTTGCTATTTCCGGGGTGCCTTGATAGTCGAAGCAGACCTTGTGCTGTTGAAGCGAGAGAGGTGAGCAGAATAAGTCAGTTTCCCTATAAAGACTTCTCTGTTGACACCCACCCCTTGGCGCTCATATGACCTTATGCAGTTGCGAGCGCCGTAAAACCCTCTACTATAAATAAAAAAATAAGATTGAGTTTGATATTTATTGACTCCCTTTGTCAGTAGGAATAAATGATAACCAGTTTATAAAGTTCATGTTGCCCTCTGCTCCTGAACAAATATTTTTGGGATTTAAAAAGATATGTAAAATTAAAATCATATTACATTATTATCTTTGATGTTTATTGACTTCATGAAGTTCGCTGAGTAGTGAGACCCATTGTATCGTTTGTATTACTGTAAACCCTCTCTGATTATATGTTGAGGCCTCAATTTAGAATTTTGGGAAAGGGATCAATGTTGACTCAGTTTGACAGTGGGTTGTGTAAAATGCAAATTTATATTTAAGCTACTGGGTATCACAACAGATGTGACTGGCCTGTCTATGAACTAAGACTGTCATACAATTTGTACTCCCAACAGACCACACCCATTCTTTGCTTGAACAAATGAACCACACATATGTCAAAATGTTCATATCTTTTGCTGTGTTAGCTTCATTAATTTCATTGTACCTACCAGTAACACTAGGCTCTGAATTTTTTTTGTGAATTTGTTATAAATTGCTTTTATGATTTTATGAGAGACTATGATTTTATGAGAGACTATGATTTTATGAGAGACTATGATTTTATGAGAGACTGTACTTAAGAACAAAGTGCAGAAGGGCATAATTTTGACCACATTTTAGGCTGTTTTTTGTTTTCCTACGAGTTGTCGTCTTTTTGAAGTCAAGTGTTGCTAACCTTTTGTTGAAATAATTTGTTTCTTGTAAATATTGGTTGGATTTGGGGGGGGAGTTCTTTCACTTTCATCAATGCTTTTGAATGTTTATATTTGTTTTCATTTTCATGTCTTTGTCTTTTTACTTACTTTCTTTTTTTTTTACCCTGTATATTTGTTTTTTCAACTTTCTTTGAAAGCAACTTTAAACGGTGCTAGGGGGTACTTCTGTTCCTTTCATTTGTTTGTAAAGTTTTTTTTTTACTTTATTCATTATTCTTTTTGAACAGAATGAGCCTGCTTTGTTGCTGATGTACATATGTATGACAATATGTACACATGAATTTTAATGTTCTGGAAATACTAAAAGTATGTATATGAATAAAAACAAATTACACTAACTCTAATTGTCTGCTTATATTTTTATGCAACTTTTAATAGGGAAGTATGGTAATTTATTTAACTTGTATAAAGGAAAATGAGTCTGTAATGTACATATATGACTTCAGGCTGTGGCAATTCCATTTATATTATAAGCTGTCATGGGCACAGTGTCATCATCGCTTTCAGACTCATGAGCTAAAGCTAGATCCACATTCCTATCATTCTTAAGTTACTGAAACTATTTATAGTTACACATGAATGTGCAACTTGACAAAGATGATGCATGAGGTGATGCACAAAATTTCAATTGCCAATGAAAAACATAGGCATGGTATATATTGGCAATCTCTAAGAGAACGAGAGAGAGGCACATTATTTTAATGAGAGAAGGCACACAACCACTGTTGGCTTCCTTTATAAGGGTGTGAGTGACATAGAAGATATGAAGTGTCCTAAAGTTTTAGAATAATGCATTAATGTACAAGCCTATTGTTGCTGTAGTTTGTTATACAAAGGAAGCTATCTCCAGACTTGAAAAGACACTCTTTGTAAACGAGAGTATGATATAAGTAAGTTTTTATGGCATGTTTCCTGCAGTTTTTGTATAACTCATGTTATGGTCTGCAGTTTTCGAGTTACCCGGCTTTTTATGTTTATTCCAGTAAAGGTTAAAGAGAAACAAATGGACACCATTGTGGTTTTTTCACATGACAATTGGAGGAATTGAAGGTTGAATAATGAATGACAATACGGCGACTTGCCCGAACTAATTAGTAATATTTCTGTTTCACTGAGGCACAGTCAGAGAAAGCTTGATGTGAAAAGGACTGGTGTTGCATTGTTAATTTGTTCCATTCTGTCATACTATTTACATGTGGTGAATTCCTGATGATTAAATTTTCAATAGTGGCTTCGGTAGTCATGTAGTCAGGCAACAAGACTCGTAATTGAGAGATTGCAGGTTCGGGGGTTCAAGCCTCAGATCGGACCGACGTTGTGTCCTTGGGAAAGACACTTTACGCGAATTCCCATTTGGCTCAGTCTTTTTGAAGGTGGACGTTTAACTCAGAGGTTCTGCCTCTTAAATAACCTAACACTCAACAGTGTTGATAGGGGTTCCATTTCACCATTTTCAAAAATTTCAATCAAGTGAACCCAACAGATCCACACTTATTGAAGAAGTATTTGTCCGTCATATTTTCTGCTTGGAGGAAACAGAACTGTATTCTAAAAAATAATCGACTAAATTTTGTACACAGCCCAAAAATTCATTCACAACAGTTCTAAAAAAAAGGAAAGAAACAACCAAAAATAGTACATTTACCAGTAGTTTGAAAAATGTATTGAAAAGGAATGCAATGAACATCATATTCAGTGATAGTGGTATATCCATGTGCACAATCTGAAAAAGGAAAGAGTGAGGACAAAAACAACAAAGAAACATTTACTTTCAGGCACAGACGTTGTCTTTTCTTTTCAGGAGAGCTGGATTTTTCTTTCGAGCCAAGGAAAAGAAAACCCTGCAGTCAGCAATATTGCACATTTAAGTTTTCCATCACGCAGCATGCTGCTCTCAATCCGAATGCTCAGGTTGCACCCTTGTATTTGAACATTATTTGATTATTTGTAAAAGATGAATGGGATATTATTGAAAAGAAATGCAACAATCCAGTGACAAAAATGAACCCTAAACCATTATATAATTATAAATGTAGAAAAAGAGCTATAACTATTTATAATATCGTCGATGGGATTCACAAACCGGCAACAAGCAGAAAGGCAAATTTTACAGGAAGGACAAAAAACTGATTATTGTTAAAACGCGTAGCACAATGTTTCATATTTTTATACAAAAGGTTAAGTTATAAGTGTTGGGACCAAATACTACATGTACTTGATTTTTCTTAAATACCACAACCGATAGTTTTATTTCGCATGTAGCTGTTTATGGCTCCATGATAGAGGTGAACTGTGGATAATTTGTTGGAGCGCACTTACCATTGTCCACGGTCTTCTCCAATGTCTTTGCCAGATTCAGTTTTACCAGGCATCTTCCTCGAAATAAGGGATCCATCATGTATCCTCAGCCAGACTCATGCCAAAATGTCAAGAAAGGGATATTTGAAAAGGACTAGCATTAATTATAGAAAAACAGCATTAACCAGGACGAACTATTCTGTAAACCTGACATAAATAGCCATTTCATATTTCGGGAGGTTTGTTTTTCTTTCGATGACTTGTTCTTGATCCTTTCTTTACCAATCGTGAATCATAGATGACTAAATATAGCCCTGGCACCATAATACCAAGACCAGATATTTGAATAGATAACTTATTGATGCATGATAAGTGAATTGAAAGAAAATGATGTCTGCCACAGTATAGTATACGCCACGACTGAAACATTTAATTTTGTGAAGAGACCAATGAATAATATTAGTTCAAACCCATGGTCACAGCGTAAGATACTTCCAAAAACAAAAAGGATAGCATCCAGAATGTCAACAATGAAATAGTAGCAATAAAGTGCATATTGTTGTCAAAATATTTTCTGTAATATTCATAGTATTAGTTTTGTATTACTACTTCTGCTGCTGCTGTTGCTTCAAACTGCTAGTACAAGACTGCTGCTGCTGCTGCTGCTAATGATGATGATACTACTAATGCTATTACAGTTGCTCTGCTGCAGCTAACACTAGAGTGTGCTACAATACAACAATTAATGTAGGTGAAGAAGAAGAAAAAGAAAAAGAAGAAGGAGGAGGAGAAGGAGAAGGAGAAGGAGAAGAAGAAGAGAGTTTGTTGTAAAAGTGCGGGCCCATAATGTGGCTGGAACTCTATACAGGTCTTTCGTGTTCTTATGTCTCATCTAGATGCATAAATTAGTTGACAAATTTAATCTAGTAAATCGAATCACACAAATGCTTTCTATTATAAGTCACTTCATTGTTGACTAATATTATTTATCTTGATGAACACTGACAACAGTTTAAAATTCTGTCTAGTTCAAGAAAAAAATAACGTACGGAACGGTTGGGGTGATGCGCGGCGGGGAAGCATGTAGCCCGTTTTCGATGACACGTGTCAACACGTGTCTAGACGGTCTGCTGAAACCGAAGCGGCTATGTACATGGCCCGTTTGGCGATGCCATTTTTTCATCAGCTGCAGGTGTTCGTTTTGGAAAGTCTCAATTAAAACATATTTCTAGTTTTTTTTTCAAACCTAATATTTATTGGGGACACGTATTAGGCTATTTAGCCTACTATTGATTAAGCACATTTTTTAAAAATTGAAATTTTTGCATGTTGTCGGTTTGTGAATCCCATCGACGATACAATATATATTTATATATGTAATGTCAAATGTAATATTATCAATGTCCCTGACAATGGAAGGCAATAAACGTCTACAACAAAAATTACTAACACAGATTCTTTCTTCTTACAGTCGTCTGTCTCCCTGAAGTTACTCTCCAGGAAAACAACTTATGATGAAAACTTTTGGCAAAATAATGATCAAAATGTATGATGGTTATGGTCCTATCATTTCACAACGTGAACTTGTTTAAAAGTCCTTCAATTATTAACTTCAGCCTTGCTCAAGTTCTTCAGCTCTAGCTACAAGCTTCAATAAAGTTCTAAGCAATCTTATTCTTATTCTTACTGTTACTATTATTTTTTTTAAAATTATCATCATAATAGTTATTCCTCAAGTGTTTGCTGTAAAGGTTATAAATGAATAAAAATAGAAAAACCAGGGGAAAACATAGAAATGGGAAAAAAACCTCTGTGTATCTTACTGTGACAATAAATATTTTTGTACACTCAGGAATTGAATAAAGATAATCAGACTTTTTTTAAAAGACCCCAAAAAATTGAGCTTTTGAGGCTGGCACTTTCTGGCACATGCATATATTAGTAACAGCACCAACATACTAAGGCATGCCAGTAACTTTGACAAATTGCACAAAACATGTATAAAAAGTACAGGAAAAAAATATGATGAGATTACATGAGGATTATTTCTTTCCCCCACCAACAGGTGTGGACGTACAATATTCATGAAAAAACTTTGAAATGTTTGCACATCACAGAAAAATGTGTAGACGGACTAAACAATTTCCAACAATATGTATAAATAATTAACAGAGAACTGTATAAATAGGTTCACATAATACATTGAAAATAGAACTTATACCAAAAAGACCACTAAAAAAAAAGAACCAATATTCACGGGAGGCACAAGGGACGTATTACTTTAATTTAATGTTAATATTTTCTGCCTTCCACAAGCACCATTCATACTGTATCACATACTACCAGACAGCAAAAGTGATTCTTTTACTCTCGGGTCACAGGTCAACCAATGAGATCTCCTGTGCGGGCTCGGTGGGCACACTGGTTTGGTATGCTCCTTCTTGTGACATCTTTTTTTTTTTCAGAGTCATCTATAAACTCCTCTATACTTGATGAAAAGGGACTATTGTTGTGCAAACTTGCTCTGAACAAAATCTCAAACAACAGGCTAGCACTACAAATAATCTCTCGGATCCAGCTCGACTTTTCCATCCCTCTGCACCTCCACTGGCACACTGTCAAGTCAGTATCATGTTGGACTAAAGTGCAGGAGAACTTAGTTCAAATCTGTAGCATCACATTTTGAGCTTAAAGTGGATAAAGGAGTTTCCAAGCTCTGTGCGCGCTTGCTTTATCTTTATCAGAAATGAAGAGACCCCACCTCTAAAATACCAATACTCCATGAAGATTTTAACCCATACTGTGCCACATTCTCAAATACGCTTTGAGCCTAATTTTTCCCCCCCTTATCACAGCACATAACACGACTGAAAATCCACACGCGGCTATCATCTCACGGCCTCACTTCACAGATGGTTTACTTCTTTGCTCATCATACTGTGCCTTCCTCTCTGGCAGGCTGGCCACAAAGGCATCGTAGGCTTCTTCCCCCATAACGTTCTTCATCACGTACGTCATGAACACGTCGCAGTCACCATGGATACGTGCTCCAAGGGGGGTTCCATCTCGGCCCAGTTTCAGACTCTCCTCGTCCTTCTCCGTGACTTGTCTGAGGAAGACACACTGATGTTAATAGTATTATGACTAACCATACAACTGGTTTCTTAGGCCGGTCCCAGAGTGGCTCTGTAGGTCTGACCTGTAGCCTGCCTAGTGAGTGCGGTCTGCATGTCAGCACAGCCGCATTGACATCTATGTCTGAACTAGCCCGAGTCACGCTCGCTGCATGTCAGCACAGCCGCACCAAAGATCGTGTATCTTTGGCCAAAATAGGATTTTAATTTAAGGAGTTTTCTAAAGACCTGTGCGAACCCTGTATGAGAGTTGTACATATTCTTTCCTGGATATCCCTCTGCGTTTCAACACCTGAACTATCAATCTAGATCTAGCTTAGTAGCACACAGGCCTACGAACGTAAACAAACAATCAAAACTAGGTCAACCTCTCAATTAGAAATTTTAATTTAAGACAAAGTGCATTTCTTTGGATTTTGAGGTCAAGTGTTGATGCTAGCATCATACTTAATTCTTGCTGATTTTGATGACCTGTGAAGAATTTCCGTAAAAAAACAAACAACCGAAGCGAGGTTGCTTGCTAGACATTTCAGACGTGTTTTACAACACAGTTGAATAGCACCTTTGACGTGTCACGCAGCGCAGCTGACAACAGACAGACCACACAGCGACGCTGCTCAAGCACACAATAATTTATACGTTCATTTGCACGATGCGAGCTGGGCGAGTTACAGGTCAGACCTAAAGAGCCACTCTGGGACCGGCCTTAAAGAATTTTCATCTGACAGCCCCCATCCCCACCCTTCTGATTTAAATGTTGAGAGAGTATGCAAACATTGCCCACAGTATTTTTATACTATTCATAGTACATGCTGAGTTCTGATTTTTCATGAAGACCAGCAGGTCAATCTCATTCCTACAATTAACCATTTAGAGAGCAACATCATCTACGTAGGAAAATCAATTCAAAGGTGTCCAACACATAATAAAGGCCAAGCTCAAAGCTTTTACTATAGGAGTAAGAACTGTATTGAATGAACCAATTAATATTTTAAAGGCTTTGACAAATACATGCGTAGGACAGAGCAGAAATTGTCAAGAGTGTAATTTTTGTAAATATTCTAAATTTGAAAGCTAAATGAGAACATTTCTGTCTTCTAGTTTTTAAAAGTTTTAGTAAGAGTTTTAAGGTAGATGCAACACGATAAGGTCACATAAATGCCAAAGATTTAGAGCTGTTGCAAGAGAGTAACACAAACACAGAAAAGAAGGGGAGAGAGATACGGACGACACATGTTTAATAGGAAAAAGGGACCAAACCACACCAGGACCTGAACACCTGCCAACCACCCACATTTTGGTCTCCATGGCAAACATTTTCCAATCAATACATGATGCATGATATGGTGTCTCCTGCTCTAAGCAACAGTTAATTTTCTAGTAGATATTGACAGAATCTCAGACTCGGAGCACCCGATATTCATCATCAAACATTTCTCAGGACACGAAGGTGCACTGAAGTCATAAACAATCTAACAATGTGCTGAATTCCAGTTCTACCTGCTCCAACTGCCACCCGTAAAAGACAATCACCTGTACAAACGACCATTCCCCCATCTCCACCCCCCCCCCCCCCCTGCATTTCTTTTACATTATAATGACACCACGTAAGACATCCACTTGTCTAAAATGGCCACTTTTCTTTTTAACAATGGGTGGCCATGTCAGACAATTTCGATTATAATTTGAAACAAAATATACCCTTAAAAAAAACCCATGAATCCTGGGTATGATATTTGGGAGGGGGAGGGGGTCAGGGATGGCATTTTCTGTTTTTGTATGAAACAGGACAGTAGGGTGTCAGCAGAGAGGGTTTAATTAACCCTTAAAACCCTATACCGCTGGTAACCGCTGATGCCATATTTTCCTATACCGCTGGTCGACTTTATCGTTTAATTCCCAGTGCAAGAAACAGGGGATGTAACTCCAGATGACTCTGTCGCGAGCAGAAAGTACCGATATGTCATGAGAGCAGTTCTACACCGAAAGTTTGGAAATTTTGCGAGTTTTTAAGAAAAATTGGTCACTTTTCGCTGCCAGGCCCTTCAGGCCGCAAAATGTTTGACATTTTTTATCCTGAACCAGACCCAAATAATGATCTCCAGTCGGATATATCGATAAATATGACCGTTGAAGACGATTGCAATGTTCCGCATAACATTGATAATGATTTGACGATAGTGGAATTGGCAGGGGATCACCACTAAAGCTACCAGAGGCTAGATCTACGGCTAGGTCTAATGATACTTTGACCGAAGTGGAGTCGAGGATCACACACAAGACTTAACTCATAGAGTTGGTCCTAAAAACCTGTGTTTTAACCTTTTCCTCTTTTGTTCAGACTGTGCATTCATATATAAAGAACATTTTCAAACTTCAGTAAAATCTAACAATTAAAGACACAGTAAACAAAATAATGAACCAACCTAATTTTTTGTGATATCTCAATTTTAATTCAGGATTCTAGGGAGGTATGAAAAAAAAGAATTCAGGGTTTTAAGGGTTAAAGTAACAGAGATGTCACTCGAGGCGGCACTCCATAACAACAATGCTTTGTTTCACGTATCGCTCGGCGCGGGGCGCGAAAACACTTACGCGCTGTAGTCGCTGCCACAGCGATGCTCAAGGATGCTGTCAGGTCAAGAGAAAATGTAGTCAGTCTGTAATTAGTTTAGACGAGTGGATGGACCTTGTACAGCAGACAAGAAAAGCGCCTCGACATTTTCCATCTCAGATGCTGCCGCAAGATCTTAGGCATTTCGTGGCGTGACAAGGTTACAAATGTTGAAGTGTTGGCATGGGCAAACCTCCAGAGCATGACAACTATCCTGTGTTTAAAAAGATTGAGATGGCTTGGCCATGTCAAGAGAATGGATGACAACCGGATTCCGAAGCAACTTCTCTATGGAGAACTTGCCCAGGGAAAGAGACAAAGAGGAAGACCAAAATTGAGGTACAAAGACACCTGCAAAAACAGCTTATCTAAGGTTGGAGTAGATGTTAACATCTGGGAAGAAATAGCTGAGGACCGGAAAACATGGAGGAAAATTATAAAGGAAAGAACTAAAATGCTAGAGAACAGCCTTAGAAACAACCAGGCTGAGAAGCGCCAACGACGAAAGGAAAACAGCGGAAATACAGAGCTTCGATCTACGACACTGACATGCAAGCACTGCGACAGAATCTGCGCTTCAAACATAGGAAGAATTAGCCATGAAAGAAGCTGCATGAAGACAACCTTGAGACCATCTTAAGCTAAATTGACCGTTTGCATAGACGAAAAGAGCCATACACAGGTTACTAGGCCTTTAACAAAGTAGGAAGCCTGTGATTTCTAACGCACATTTTAGGCAACTCCCCTGCCTCCCTCGGCCATAAACTATAAGACTTTGGCTTAAGTAAACATACATTCTAATAAACAAATTATAGACGCAGCTACATCACTATAGATCTGAAAAAAAAAAAAATATCACCGTATAATTAAAAGCATAATCGGTTTAATTTTCACCAAAACTACTCTTTCTCCAGTGCCCTCTTTCCTCTCTCTCCCTGTCTGTCTGTCTCTCTTTCTCTATCACTCTTTTTCACCCCACTCTCGCTCTGTCAGTCTGTCTGTCTGTCTATCCGTCTGTCTGTCTCTCTCTTTCTCTCTCCCTGTCTCTCTTTCTCCCCCCTCTCTCGCTCTGTCTATCTGTCTGTCTGTCTGACTGTCTGCCTGTCTCTGTCTCTCTCCCTCCCTCCCTCTGTCTTTCTCTCTCTCCCTCCCTCCCTCTCTCTTTCTCCCCGTGTCTCGCTCTATCAATCTGTCGGTCTGTCTCTCTCTCTCTCTCTCTTTCTCTCTCTCTCTCTCTTTGTCTCTCTTTCTCCCCCTCATCTATCTGTCGGTCTGTCTCTCTCTCTGTCTCTCTTTCTCTCTCTCTCTCTCTCTCTCTTTGTCTCTCTTTCTCCCCCTCATCTATCTGTCGGTCTGTCTCTCTCTCTGTCTTTTTCTCTCTCTCTCTCTGTCTCTCATTCTCTCCCTCCCTCACTCTGTCTATCTGTCTGTCTCTCATTCTCTCCCTCCCTCACTCTGTCTATCTGTCTGTTTGTCAATCTGTCTCTCTCTCTCTCTCTCTCTCTCTCTCTCTCTCTCTCTCTCTCTCTCTCTCTCTCTCTCTCTATCACATACACACACACACACACACTCACATACCGGTGCCTTTCCTAGAGGGTTATCAATCTTATAAATGATTAATTACCAAATGTCGTATGGGGGAATTCGCATGGCTCCCTGCTTTCGTCCTCCCTCTATCATTACAGAGTTACACATTAAATAAATACTAAAACAAACAACAACAAAAACCAATCTCGAAAAAGCATGAAGAGTTTGTTGTTTAATACTCGCAATTTCAGATCATGGAAAAGCACATGAAGTAATAATGATAGAGCTACCACACAAGGAGTTCCACAGGATCCCCAACGTTCCTCCATCCCCCATCCCCCCAAAAAGTAGTAATCGGACAAAATAAATACCAAAACCAACCGATGGCACTTTATATTTAGCAAATTTTCGCAGGCAACATATTATCTTTCACTAGTAGAATGCAAGCTCAATTTGGATATTTAAACTGTAAAAAAAAGCAATTGATAGTTGATATAGCAAAGTCGATTTAGATTTAAATTGGTTCAGTTTATATAGAGCAAAACACCATTGACACTTCGTGCTAACCGGGGCCATGTTTGTCTGCCACCAACGAAAATGCCTTGAACAATGGATGCAGTTTGTTTTGGTTACCGCGCATTTCTCCACGATCAGCTGGTGACCCAGATACGCGCATCCGGGCCAAGTGTCAGCTCTCTAGAATTACTGTAAACTCTCTGGTGTCAGCCACTAATACTACCTATAACCCTATTTAGCAACTCATAAACTGATGCAAATACCTGTTGCAGATGACAATCCTGCGAGGTTTCTTGATGTGGTGAACAATGTTGCAGGCAGGTGTAACAGTGAGAGTTGTTCCAAGGCACACCAGCAGATCACAGGACTTGGCAGATGCAAAGGCTTTATCCAGAATGTCCGCCTCCAAGTCATCACAGAAATTGATGATGGTATCTATCAGCTGTCCTCCACAGCCCTACGCAGCAGAAATAGTATTTTTTAAACAAATATATCAATAAAGAGATGTGCATTGTCACAATAACAATCATTTTGCTTTATAAGGAAAAGGGGGGGAGGGGAGAGAAGTAAGACAGATAGACAGAAACAACAGAGGAAAAGAAAATGGGAAGGAAGTACCGGTGAAGCCCCCTGTCCACCTATAGTAGAAACAGTAAGCTACGATCAAATGCTTAATAAATCTCTCTATTCTAGTAATTATCACAAGGCTCGTGAACTAAAATAAAAATTTGATACTAAATACAGTTCAATCTCCTCCAACTGCCTCTTGTACTAATATAATCACCTGTACAAACAACCACTTCCCATTCCTCCCTGATGTACTTCATATATTTTAATGACACTGTGTAAGACAGCCACCTACCTAACATGTGTCGACAATAGGGGGCCATCTTAGACTGTTTCAACTGTATTATATTACAAGAATAAAAAGCAAAAAGAGAGTTACCTAACCCACTACAGACAATTAACCTTTTCAATTTTCAAAAAATGCCAGTAGAAATATAAATCATATGTTATAAAACCTTTTTTCGCACCCCGGGTGAGAATAACCCATGTCTCGCTATTCTCA